GTAATAGCTATAAAAAAGATTAAAAAAGATATCTATTTAATCTAATCTTATTAAAGATATTAATATAAATCTTGATTTAATAATTAGCTTTAGATATTAAATTAAAAAAAGAATAATAAGTTTATATAATATATCTAGTTTAATATATATCTTTTTTTTATTGAAATTTAATATTATTAATATATATTAGGATTAGTAAAATTAAAAAGTATTTATTAATAGTAAAAAGAGTATAAAACTAAATTTCTAATTTTTATAAATCTTATTTATAATATTCTTATAATCTTTATAATTAATATTAAAATTAAATATCTATTTAACTTAGTTTATAATATTTACTATTATTAATATAATTTATTAAATATAAATATTATTAAAAATCTTATATTCTAAAAATATATTATTAAATTTAAGATTAAATTTATTAAATTTTGTTGGAAGGGAGTTCCTGTCGTTGGTGGATCACGTGACCGTGACCCTCCTGCCTATTAGTTCTCGCTCCTCCATAGCTTCTCTCTTCTTCTTTCTTTCTCTTTAGACGCACAATACTATTCTTCGAATAGCCTCCTTTTCTTCCTGCCTACGTTCTAGTAGACCTTCCAAGAAATTTATATTCTATAATATATATTTAATTAAATATAATATATAAATAAAATAAAAGAAAAAGAATTAATCTTTTTAAAAACTAATAAAGCCTATTAATAAAGATAAAAAAAAGAAGAATAAATTTATAAAACTTTTAAAAAGATATTTAATTATTATTATTAAATAAAGCTCTATATATAAAAAAAAGATAAAAAGATTATTAAATTATCTCTTCTTTTATAATTCTAATAATAAATAAAGAGAATCTATAAATAAATTAGAAAAGATGATTTTATAAAATATTAATTAATATTTAAAATTAGTAATACTTTATTAAAATCTTAATCTAATTCTAAATTTCTAATTATTAAATAATTTTAATATCTTTTATTTAATATATAAATAAAATATATAAAAATATAATTAATTATATATAATTTATATATTTCCTATTTATCTTATTTGACTAACTCATTTTATCTATATAACCCGGCAGGTTTCAAAACTAGAACTATGACCCAACCTGCGGGTTGGGTTGGTGACCCGTAAACCCGTTTCTTAACGGGTTTTGGGTAACCCGTAACGAGTAACCCGCGGGTTGTGTCGAGGTCTAATCCTATGGGCTATAGTGATAAGATATTTGAACCCTAAATAGAAGTAGTGCTAATTAATATAGACGGTTGAGAATAATACTAGATTGATATTAAAGAAAATACTAGCTTATCTCTGTGATCTTGATAATAGAGTGGATTGCGTTATTCTAAGAATGAGTCTAATATCCCTTCTGGAAGAGCTGCGGCCGTTTTTGTTAGTATAGAAAGATCGCTCTAAAGATTTTGATAGTTCTCTATTTCCCTTTTAGAGAAATAAAGATTAAATTGAAGACGTTATTGGTAATTTAGTTGCGAGTAAATACCTTTTTTTATGTATAATAGAAAGAGATTTTATTATGGATAGAGTCTGTCAAAAACTCTGTTATATATTTTTCTATTTGATCAAGGATCATGTTTAAGGACATGGCCCTCTAATATAAGAAACTATATTCTCTCTTTCTTATCTAATAAAGAGTATTAGAGATATTTAATCTAATAAAACTTTAATATAGTGAAAACTAGGTTTATAGATTAACGTAGGTAAGAGGCTTTAGCTGATATTAAAAGATCTTAGAGGGTTTGATATTATCTTTCTTTTTCTTGAAGATATTAGAGAGAATATATTTGTTAAACTAGATTGATTGTATATATACTAGGACTTATTTTCTAATATTTCACTAGCTAGTAATAGAATTTATTAAAATCTAAGATTGTGAGACGAGATTGCCTATTATACTTTTTAAGGCGAAGAGGAATTTTTAAAGAAGCTATTATTGTAGATACTTATTTGATTGTGATAGAAATTTTAAAAGCTTAGGTTATATTATTGCATCTTTTGTTGAGACTAGAAAGTAGGCTTATGATATCCCCTGATATTTAAAATAAGATTATTTTAAGTAATATTAGTTAATTTATATCTGAATTAGTGTTGATTTTTCTAGTCTAAGAGTTCCCTATTTATAAAATTCTAGCTTAATAGAATATAAATTAGCTAGAGTTAGACCTTGACATAACCTGTGGGTTATCTGTTACGGGTTACCCAAAACCCACTAAAAAACGGGTTTATGGGTCACCAACCCAACCCGCGGGTTAGATCACAGTTCCAGTTTTAAAACCCGCTAGGTTATACGGGTAAAATAGGTTAGTCAAACAAGACAAATAGGAAATATATAAATTATATATAATTTAACTATATTTTTGTATATTTTATTTATATATCAAATAAAAGATATTAGAATTATTTAATAATTAGAAATTTAAAATTAGATTAAGATTTTAATAAAGTACTACTAATTCTAAATATTAACTAATACTCTATAAAATTATCTCTTCTAATTTATTTATAGGTTCTCTCTATCTATTATTAGGATTGTAAAGAAAAAGATAGTTTAATAATCTTTTTATCTTCTTCTTTATATATAGAGCTTTGTTCAACAACAATAATTAGATATCTCTTTAGAAGTTTTATAAATTTATTTTTCCCCTCTTTATCTTTATTAATAAGCTCTATTAACTTCTAAAGAGATTAATTTTTCTCTTTCTATCTTATCTATATATCCTACTCAATTAAATATATATTATAAAACGTAAACTTAGTAGACTTAATCTTAAATTTAATAGCATACTTTCAGAGTATAAGATCTTTAATAGTATTTGTATTTAATAAGCTATATTAATAATAGTAGATATTATGAGCTGAGTTAAATAGACACTTAACCCTAGTACTGATTGTAGAGATTATAAAAACATTATAGATAAGACTTATAAAAGCTAGGAATTCAATCTTATACTCTTTTCACTATTAGTAAATACTTTTTAGTTTTACTAATCCTAATATATATTAGTAATATTAAATTTCGATAAAAAAAAGATATATACTAAACTAGATATATTGTATAAACTTATTATTCTCTTTTTTAATTTAATATCTAGAGCTAATTATTAAATCAAGATCTACATTAATATTCTTAACAAGATTAGACTAAATAGATATCTTTTCTAGTCTCTTTTATAATTACTACTAATATAATATAAAAAAAGTTCGAAAATTTTTTTAATATTATTTAAAATAATCAATCCTATCTTCTATCTAACTACTAAAAAACTAGAGTTTATATTATAAAATAAAGATAGTTATAATTACAAACAAATTACTATAAATCTCTTTAATATTATAATAGTAATCTTTAAATTTCTATTTAGAAGTTTTTAAAACTTTAAGTATTGTTTTCTTCTAAAAAACTTTTTTTTTTTTAAAGCTGATTAATTAATTTCTTTAAATAGTTAAAAAGTGTATTATAAATATTAAATATAAAGTAAATAGTGATATTCTTTAACTTTAAAAGTATAGTTATAAATTTAAAAAAAGATTGTATAATTTATAATAGATAATTAATCTAATATTAATACTTTTAATTAAATATAAGATTAATAAGATTCTTTTAAAAATAATATTAATTAAAGATTAGTTAAAGTCTTTTTATATAACGTATTCTACAGGACGGCAAGCGGGGCGCCAGAAATGGCTCCCATTGCCCCGTTTTCCCGCCACTCCCGACCGCCTGCCCGGCTCCGCCATCCCCCTGCCCCTTCCGGCATTGCGTCCACTGCGACCGCCCAACCGGGTTTAGCGCCACCGAGGCCGCTTTTATTGCCCGACGCATCCGTTCCTCCCTCTATAAAAGACCACTCGCCCTCTTGTCAAGTCTCCCACGCACTTTCACTCTCCTTGCCCACCCGACCCCCTTTCTTCTCGCCCCCACCGACCTACGACGCATTGGACTCATCATCCTGACGCACTGCCCCTTTCGTTTCACCGGAGATGCCGCTGCTTCCGATCCTCAGACCGTTCTGGCCAGCATGGGCGACGACGCGACCTCAACGCCCAGGGGCATCGGCTCCGAATTGATCAGTCCTCAGTGGATTTTTGACCAATATTGATTACAACAGAGCGACAGGTGCTCTTTGCTACACAAATTATCCAGATCGCTTCCCACCAGAACTCATTGCACATCGAGCCTGTGCTATCTATCCTCTTCCGCCGACCTCGTACGCCTCCATGAAGTCTCCGAATGACATCTTTGATGACATATTCCCCGCTTCCATCTGCTCCTTCGAGGTTACATTGCACAGCTCTCGTCCCTGATATACTAGCGTATGCTTGCTCACGACTGCCAAGCGTTCTTTTGGCGTCATCAATAGCTCTTTTGGGACCCGATGCACACAGCCGAGAAATCTTCGACTACACAGCTTGGTATCATGAGCCAATAGCGAAAATCCCTCAGCTGCACCTGACTCCTGAGCTAGCGATTGCAGCCGGAGGCGGATGACTCTATTGGACGGACAACATGTGGATTCTTGTCGTCGGGACCGTCCCCTGTGGACATGAGATTGGAACCCCTGTATTCTCGCGTCATACATGTGATGTGGCTTCCAGGAGAAGAGTGAAACCCTCTGCGCTGCGCGAAAGACGGGCTTTGTCGCAAGGATGAGTGATCTCCGGGTATAAAGCGACCTTCAATTCCGCCCCTATGGCTGATTGGGAATTCCAAACCCCTTCCCTTCTTCTGCCTGTTTCTTCCCTCTCTGCCAATACCCCAATTCTCAGTCCTAGTCTCATTCGATGAGCCCTGCCAGTCACCATACCTGAAAACCCTTTCAAACCCCCTGCCCCGAACATGTCAAGCGCCGATTTCCGCGTGGAATCCTTCCGGCCTTGGAATCCCCCCCCAAGGAAAAGCACAGTCTCTGCGGAACCCTCTCAATATCTATCGCTATCCAAGTCCTGTCTCCCTCGGTGCCACGCCGCCTCCCTCTACTGTGATGGACGCCACTTCAAAGAGTCAGCAAATGTATGCTCCCAGAACTGAGCGACATCCCCTTCCTGTTCGCCCACCGGTAGAGGTTTGTTTGAACGGCGGTCCACCACCGGACTCTCAGATCAATCGACACGAGCCGGAGGCCTTCGAGCGAACATCATCTATTAGTCCTTGTCCTAGAACTTTCGACTTCGAGGACATCCTACATCTGCAAGATCTATCAAACTCTGGAGATGATGATCATTCAATGACTTTCGGTCATTCTGGCCAGACCTTCGATCCTCAACCCTCCGATTTTGAATCGGGCGACCTGGAGCTTGCTTTCGCTGCTGGTCAGCACTCTCAATTTGGGGTTACTGGAGGCCTTAGCCAGACTGGACTGCTTCTAAAAGAAGCAGCAATTGATCCGGCAATTCTGGACGACCATCATTTCCCAGCTATGGAGCAGACCCAAGCAACAGAACCTTTACCTGACGTCGCAACCTGCCCAGGCAGATCATCAGCTGAAAACTCTCGCCTTTCGGATAAAGATGCCTCTTTCCATGGCAGGCAACATAAACCGAAGAGGATCGTGAAATCTGGTCGGCAGCCTTACAAAACGAACAATCTTTCAGTTGTTGTAGAAAGTCGCCCAAAGTCTACAACCGGTCGACCTTCTCAAGGGCTCGGCCGTAAGAACGTTTCGTTTTCTATCGTTCGTGCTCAATTCTCTGCCCTTTCGGTCGACGACCGATTACAGTTCCTGTCCTGGCTGTTCGAGGGTGCCTTAGCTCATTGCCTTACTACGCCTTCGAGCACAAATGATGCCGCTGCATCACGATCCATCTCGAACCAGGATGAAAACATGACACCTAAGTCTAAACACTTGGGTAAAGGGGCCGAAAAAATCGATGGGGAACATACTCGTTCCTCGAGAAAGGGATTACGATGGTCCGTGGAAGAGGATCATCTACTGGTGAAACTCAAGGAAAAAGAAAATCTCGCTTGGTCGGAAGTGTTCAATCGTTTTGGTCAAAAGTTCCCCGGAAGAAGTGAAGGGTCTATACAGGTATACTGGAGCACGACGCTCAGGAAACAGCGACTACCTTGAGCGGAAGACTAATAGCAAATGCCATCCATCGCTTTGCTGATGAAGGCCAGGAGGCGTGCATCTCGTACATGTTTACCTTTAACGTAACCTCAATGACCCCTAATATTGGTCAGTGGCGACCATCTAGTGGTTGCTTGAATCGGCTGATGCTTCGTCATGACGCATAGCAAATGGAGAACGAGCTGGAGGGTCATAGTTAATAGGCGCATGTGTTTGGCGTGCAAACTGATGGGACACTGCACGTCCTCTCGGGTTCCGCAACGTAACTGGTATTTTACGGATGAATAGATCTTGGCTGAATAAACTGGTCGAAACTCCACGTCAAAGCAACGTTGCTTGGAGGTGGCGGCTAGGCCTGTTCCAAGATCTGAGGGAGATCTCCCCAACCAGGATTCAGCTTGCTCCTTGGAGACAGAACTCCACCTCCCAGGTGGGCATAGTTGCTTTTTTCAATGATCACAAAAACGTGTTTTTCATTGCTCAGTTGCCCATGTCGGCCGCCAGTGCGATACTGGAACACTTTTACGCTGTATATTGCCAGAATTGTAAGTTATTTCTCTTTCTAATGACAAGACACCGAATTCAGGCAGCGACGGCCCTGGTACTTGATGACTAGAAATGTTTGCATGGAAGTGGTTATGACTCGCCGGGAGTCGCTCCATCCCATGTTCATACGAAAAAGGTCAAACGAATGGCCGTATTCCTGCGCAAAGGTGCCTCATCCTCAATTGTTCTTTGGATTAACGGGGACTTAAAAGCAGACTGAACATCATCTAAGATACATATCTCTTCCCTTACTGTCTAACGCCCTCCCATCTAAAAGCGCGTTCGGCTCGAACAACTCACGGTCTCGGCTCGACCTGGGAAATGCGGACTATCACTGGTTCTGCTGCACCATATGTTAATTCATGCCATGCCACGTCGGTACAGGTCGACCAACCGAGAGGTATATTTTCGCATCTTTGCTGGATGCCTCTGACTTGAAATATCTCACCAAGAATCATTCTATCTGGCTTGGATCTTTCCAACAGCTTGACCTGCTTTGCCTCTTGTCCTAATGCATTCAACGATGAGACTTCTTGAAATATGGTGGCAATATGCTGCGCCCTCATATCTGTCAAGGTTAGAAAGTGGCGTCAAGAAAACGAAAGGTCTCCTGTTTCCTACCGTGAGTCATTGGTCCCATGCCCAGGCGGTGCAAATCGCCTTTCTTGCTCTTTCTGGATCGAACCCAAATTTTCCTCCATTTCAGCAAAACTTGCAACAGTATGCTTGGTTCAAGTGCACGAAATGCTGTCGCAAAATAGGCTTGTACTTGAACAGTATCTTTGATGTCGATGGGATGAGGTTGAATCAAAGCTGAGCGCTCATCCTCCATAGACAAAATCGCTTCAAGATTTGTGAGCACAATTTTGAGTTCGTCTAACCGAATGTCGCCATCGAATAAGGGCGATATTTGAAGCCGGCGAAGCATATCATTAACAAAACCCATGTCAAATAACCATGGATCGACCGATTGATGGTCACTGAGATTGGCTATTCCCGAAAAGCTGTAGCAAATGAGTGCTATGCTGGCTCTACTCCCAAAGGGCCTCCTAGAAGGGGTTTGCCGCCTCCATAGCATGAACCCGGAACAAGACGATTGAAGTGAAACTTCGCCAAGCTTGAAGAGCATATATCCGAGGTGGGCTTTCAAATCCTCCAATGAAAACGCACGAAGGCATCCCGCTTCTGTGAGAAGGTTTCGTGCTTTCATCCACCAACCCTCCACTTGCATATGATTAAAGCTCCCAGGCACAAAGCCAGCCTCCCATTGCTTTTCTCCCCTAGTGATGACGCGCCGAAGCTCAGCTTCATCCTCGAGGGTTGAAGATGCAATGAAAAGATAGTTTAGTATTAAAATCATCTGTATAACACTATACCGAACTTTGATCATGTTTTGGAGAGCGAAGGGCGAGCAAATGGCTGAATATGAAGGATTCATCTTTAGGTAGGGAAATAATGAAAGTTGATTTTGGGTCTTTAGATGTGATTGAAAGCATTTGGTAGCGATGAGAGCTTTTTGTATAGCAAACTAACCATAGGGCCACTGTTGGATTGCTTTTATGATAAAGGACATACAAAAAGTTGAGCTCTACTCTACGAAGAGCCTATTTCTCTAGGCTAGGTGTGAAACCTCAGACGCACTGTATGAATATTCGCAGTGTTACAACCAATCAATCCGACATATTCGCATTTCATTGCTTTTTACTCCTTCATATTACTCACCGGTATTGGGATCCATAAAATTAGCAAAGCTAGAGAGTGGCTAGCAGAAAATTGTGTGCAAAAATTACCGAATTGTCAGCTATTTCATCTTGTGCATTGCTATACATTTTTGGCGCTTCTTGGACGCTTTTTTTCAGCCACGCAATGGTATCCCAACCTCGGTGTTATCTAAAGATATTTCTGTCGATATTGAATCATCTCTTGGCTTTCAATGTCTGTATCTTCCAGGCTCTCCATATTCCCAAACATGAGCTCCAAGGATTATACCACTTGTTTTCATAAGTTTACCCGACTGGGGAATTTTACTCTTAGCTGGAAAGCGGCAACTCGAGAGAGCACTATGAAAATTGAATCAGATAAAACCTTTTTGGCCTGGAGAACTTTGTCGCAAACCATCCGAAATTCCTTCTGTTCGGCCAATGTGTAAATGCCTATAAGCCATCAAACATCAAAAGTCAACCAACGTGAGAATGAAGTAAAACGAGAATGAGTCTTGTGGAGGCTTGGTCATTTGACTTACATTTGGCACCATCTTCAAGGATGGCTTTTTATCAAATATGTAATTGGACTTTCGGAAAACCACTGTTCCCCGGTTCCACGTCAATAATTCTGCCTTTGACAAGTCTAATGTTCGGAGGAATGTGAGGGAGCTCAATGATTTCTCTATCCGAGTTGCAATCTGATTGCATAGAGGTGTTTGGGAAATTGTTTTCTGAGGGATGAAGAGTGAGAAGTCAATATCAAGGGCTCTGCGCGTCAAGAGAAAACTCACTAGGACGATTTCCAGATTTACCGATGCGTAGAGCTCTGCTAGTCTCTATTTGCTTTTGGAGGCATACTGGTAGAGGCCTTTCGGGGCTAGATGCAGATTCATCATGTTCCAGCCCATATACCGCGTGTTCAGTTCGCTTGTACGGGGTGGCAGCATTTAGGATCGTTGGCTCTAGGCCCTGGTCTGTTTCTTGCTCGTTTTTTGGTCTCCAAAGAGACTCTATCCAATTTGGAAGAAACAATCGGAAGGAGACAGCAGAAAGGCAAGACATGAGGCCAAATTGACATACAGCTTTGAAACCTTTCGATAAGTATGGTAAAATCATCAATAGGAACGGAAGGCTTTAAGCATGGGCTGGTGTTCTTTTAACACATCCAGGTGGTCATATAAAGACTCCTTTCTACTGTCGAAGGAAGCCATCTATCATACATTTTAATTAAACAAAAAGGATTTAGTCATGGTGAGTATCCGTGCCTTTGACCCGTGGCGATGATATACTCACATCATAAGCCTGCCCCGATTCCTGTCCAATTCTTGTATGGACCGGCAAAAGTCGCTCTAGAGGCAATGATCTTTTTGAGAATTGATTCCCCGGTACTCTCAAAATGGACACCTTCCGAAAACTCCAGCCAAGATGCTAGAATGCTGCTAGACGCCTGCAAGGCTTTGAGGAACAGCAGGTCTCGGGAAACGTATCTGGATGAGAACATTTCTCTTGAGGAAGGCTTGCGCGCCTTCGAGGGGAATGTTTTGCACAGTCTCAGTTACAGTACTGTTCTAATGCTAGCACTGATGACCTGGCATTTCGATGCTTCGTCTTCTGAAGCGTCGCGGGGCTTGATTGCTTTCTTGAGACAGCCTCACGACAATGAAGTGAGGAGAATACTCCAAGGTCGATACTCAAGCATTATGCTTGAGACGGCCCCTTCGAACTTCGACTTTTTGCTTGTCCTGAATTGAGTCTATCTGGTGATCAGAGAAATTGCATAGCACGAATGGGTTTATATGTATTCAATCAACGGTATCCAAGCTTTTTCAGACGGTCACCAATGTCTTGGAGATAGCCATCATACCAGTCCCTTAAATTTCCTTGCATTACATATCCCAAAGCTTCTGCGAGCTGCTGCCTTTTTCATACTCCCGTAGGCATTTTGAATGTAGACGCTGGTAACAAAGAGCTTTCTTCGAGTCAAGGTCTTCGACTGGTTGTTGCAGAATGATTGGATCATCGCTGCTCAAGGGAATGAATTCTGGAATCCCATATTTCCCCCAAACCCGTGATATACCCGTCTCCAGCACCGCAAGGTCCATTAAATATGCATCCTTCATGTTGTCATGGCCATCCCGGGCTTGGTGCTGGACGCCAATATCATGAAGAGCGATGGCATCAAGAACCACATCTCCGAGGCCCTTTCTTTTGATATCTTCTATAAGTTGAACTCCATTGCGAGGAAACCAAATTCGCACGGTCTTGTTTGGTTAGAACTGGGTATTAACCCGGAGAAAAGGGAAACTTACATGCAAGCGAATCGGTACTGAGTCTTTGGCAAAAATTCCAGAGCCTGGAGGGGCAGAAAAGGCAGGTTGTTCTTTCACCGTCAAAGGCTTGGCACCTTTCGCAGATTCATGCATACTACTTCGATTGGGGTCTGGCCCCCCGAATAAGACTGTCTCGCGCGAGCTGCCTGGGGAGAAGAGGCGGGACATGTAGTTTGAAAGCAAATATCGAAATTTTGAACATGTCATATTCTCAGTTTTGGAGTCTTGGTGGTAGGTAAATATAGAAATTTGGCCAAGTGTGAAGCAATTGTCTCTTTGTATGTATGCCCCAAAATGTAGGTATGGTCGTTCGTGTCATGTACTCCTATTGAAAAGCTAACCTGGAAAATCTGGAGCCAGACTTACATGTCTTCATAGTTGGATCAGATGGTCTCAAAGTCGAGCATACCTGAGGTCGGACCTGCAAATGTTGATGGGAAGGAGGCTGTTTGGTAACCCCATGCATTTAACCGTCTGTATTTGAGTAAGGGGTGGTAAATATTTTTTTCTAGGAATCGAGGCCAAATGAAACGGAATTATAGAATGGCAATTGATGTCGAATGAAGTAAATTCAGCTCTTTTGGTTTTGGGGATAATCCATCGTGATAGGCGCGAAGCGGTTTTGTTCTGGACATACTGCTTTTTTGTTTTGAGAGACATATCAAGAGCAGTGCGTTCCAAATACCATGCAAGTGATTCAAAATGCCTAGGTGTACCCATGGCGACAATTGGAGGATGAGTGCAGGTTTGTGATGACAAGAGACGAAGTGGGGGGCTTTACCCGATTCTGAATAGGTTTTCTGCGCAGAAAACCTATTCAGAATCGGGTAAAGCTTGTGCATGTAGTGCTCCAAGCTGCTGAGGTAAGATCAGCATTCCCCTGGCAAAAAGTACAATCTTGTGATCGGTCGATCGGCTGCCAGCTCCTCCCACCACTCCACATGTACCCACTAATTCTTACGTCGTCCCGACTATTTACTTCCAACTTCAGCAACCACCATGGGCATCGTGGAAAGCAGATTATTGGCAAACAGTCTTCTTTCTGCTTGCAATAAGGCTGCAGAAGAGGGAAAACATCAACTAGACGAGTCTGAGTTCTGGAAAGATATTGTGAGTTTCCTTCGATCATTTATCTGAAGCTTTAATCCTCATCTAAGCAGGAAAACGTCAAAGCATCGAAAAGCATATACAAGCACATTCCCCAGCGTATCCGACAAACTTCTCGTCAGTCCGCTATCAAGAAGGCCATCGTGCGTTCCTCACAACAACTCCAAGCTCCACAAATCGTCCAAGACCTGCAGGACAAGCGTGAATCGCTTTTCCCCTTGTACTTACCAACAAGCAGCGAGGAGAGCAGCGACGGTTCTTCAAGCACTCGTCAAATTGCACCTTTCTCTTGCCATGTCCCAACTTCGCTGCAACCATGTCCGCTCGCCGATTTCTACAAACTCGTCGTCTTATGCGAAAATCAACAGCAACTGGGGAAAATCCGCCTCCGGATTTGCTATGTGGCGTTCTTTCGCTTGAAGAATGCCGTACAGCCAGGTACCCAGTACCAATACGATGATGCTTCAATGTTCATAGCCCATCTGATAAGAGATTCGGGCTGTGAAGACTCACTTTCCGACATTGAACGTCGTGTAAGACACTGGGTTGGCCTAGGAGAGCGATACAGTCTGCTAGCTAATGACCTTGGAGGGCTGGGGGTATTGTATCTCCTTCCACAAGATGGTGGTGAGTCGATGTAAGTGGCAATCTAATGGAGAAAGAAGTAACTTTACTGACAACGCTGTAGCTGGACCAAAGAGCTGCCCAAATCGCCGAAGAGGCCTAGAAGAATTGCCATGTTGAACCATCTGAGGCAGAAAGGATTGCCAGAAGAAGCTCAGACACGTGGTCTTCATGCCTTGGCAGAGGACGAGGCTGCAAAAGTTCTGGGGCCGATCAAAGCCTCATTAGAACGAGTGATGGAGAGTCAACTATCAGAGGCAAATGCCCATATTGTGGATGAAAACCGACAGTCTAATAGGACTTGGCCACAATCGGATATTCCCCAAATTCGTCAGCCTAGCGCCGGTATGTCCTGTAAAATGTTGGCGACTTTTTCTCATATCAATTCAGGGACGCCGTCTTCTCAATCTGGAGCACCAGTTGCTACACAGGTTGCTTCCACTTTGGGATCACCATGTAACGCCATGTTTAGTGGTCACGCGACTTCGGAAATGGTGCAAGATGTGAGCGACTTACATTATGGGCCTTCGCTCACACGAATATCATTGCAAAATCGGCCGGACATTATGATGTCACAAGTTCACACCCATGGGCTTGAACCCGTGTACATGCCAACGAAATCGGGATCATGTGAAACATTCATACCCCATTTTGGAAATACGGCAGTGGAAAACAGTGCCCAATTCAATATGGAGCGAAATGTTCAAGTTGTATGTCACCATTCCTAGCCCTCGGGTCAAAGATAAACTCTCATTTTTCACAAGCAATATTCCGACCCAATGAGCGCTACGAGCAACCAAATAGCAATGATTACACCGGCAGACTTTCCTCAAGCTTTCGCAGTAACATCCACCTCGATACCTGCAGATTACCCTCAACTATTTCCATATCAACAACGAACCGTCACTCCCGCGGATTACCCTCTAATGTTTCCCTGCGACCCATCTCAATACCTTAGTTGATCGAACTCTCAGCCAATACTGCAAATTTTATAATTCCGCACATTGTGTTATGTAGAAGTCGGTGGAAGAGCGAGAATAAGATACAAGGCTGGTGATAGGACAGGTTCGCGTTGAAAAACTGCCGGGGTATTGGGAACAAGCAGAGGCTGGGAAGGCTCAGACAGTAAACGAGGGTGGCCGGAGATAATCGTCACTGGTATGATGTATCCTTGCTTTCCAATCCCCTCCTTTTCCACGAACTTAGTTTCCTCCAACACCTTCCACACTTGAAACCCGTGCCGCTGAAGATAATCAGGCAACTCGCTGGAAGCCTTCACTAACAACGGCTCTAGGCCATCATCATCACAAAAAAAAACATTTAGGTTGTCCTTGTCCTTTTTCCAGCTAGCACTTTTGAGAAAGGTAGCCAACTCATCCATGATTGATTGAGTCATGCCGAACAGGAGGCCGATCAGGTCTCGCGGGACGCGTGAGGATGGAGTGGACGACCTAATGTAGATGGTGAAAAATCATCCACTAGAAATAAGTTAGATGAGCACATGAGCAAACGATTTTTGCAACCTAACTCACCTTTGGCATCGAATGTTCGCTTTCGCAGGGAAATCGGAGCGTGGTAAAAAGTAACCGCGGGGCACGGAATATGACGTTGGATTTTTAGGCCTAACAAAGTGGGGTTTTTGCCTAATTCACCCCCTGGGCGATAAAGTACAGGACATTTTATCTCCGAGGAGAATGATAGTGCGAAGGAGTCAGTTGATCTAACCCAATTTTCTATCCATTAGACGGTCACATCCGAATAGGGATATAGCACAACAAACCCATGCTTTTTAGAATCCAAAAGGGCATCATAATCGCCGGAAAGCGGTAGGAATAAGAGAAAACAATACGAAGATTCACGTGATGAACCGCGCCTCTACCGGTCTTACTTAAACCCGGTCGCCTCTGCTTTTTACATACATGTGTATAAATGACAGGATCCTTAGCTACTATAGTATCGGCGTTTCTAATAGGATCCACAAAGGTACACAGCTATTCTTAGTCTTCGAGCGACATGCTCCCAGGATTTGTGCCCGAGTGCTAGACAACCATCGAATAGCTCTTCATTCCAACAAGACAGACGGGGATCTGTTATCCCTGCGTCGCTTTGGAGCGCCCGCATGTGAGGCTGGCCTTTCGCCATAATGTCACCTATGGTGGAAAGGAAGCTAAGGAGACTCCGTTGTGAGCGTACGATGAAAGGGGTGGCCATTTGTCGGATCATCATTTTCCCGTATGGAATTTCCCCTCTTCCAGCCTGACAGCGCTTCGAACTTAAATTCTCCTGCCGGCCGTTCATTCGCTTTTTACCGCATAGATCTGCTCAATTTTCAAATTTTCTGATATGCAACAGAATACGCCGATATTCTGAAAATGAATCCAATGAATGATCAAGAAAGAACGACCCTTCATTCGTTGTTCGGTCGCACGGTTATCCGAGTCGACAACAATCTCGTCGTGAAATCGGGCAATCTCCGCTCCCACGAAGCCCAAACATGTAAGTAGAAAACGAATAACTCAAATAAATTTACGCGCGCGGTGCGCATGGGTAAGCAGGGGTCTTGTTGATTTTATTGTAAATTTGAATGGTATAGTGGTTTTTCATTGATCACTTTAGCGCCCGTTTCAAATCGGAGGATGATGAATGCCAACTATTGGTCTTTGGTGATAGATATCTAAGCGTAACACCCACGATCGAAACGCTTCTGACTCCACATGTACCAATTCATATTCGTCTTGAAAATTCCAGGCAAATCATTCAATTGTGTGGTTGTATGCCGAAGTGGTTGATTGACTCATCTCGGCCCAATAGGAACAGTCACATAGCCGCCACTAGATGGAGGCGCTTTATTTGCAAAGTTCTTATCCACTTCATTGACGCCATACGCTTTCCGCTAGTGGTCCTTTTATTTTATGCCATTTCTCTCCTCGTGTGGATCATTCTCACGGTCACTAACGCTCCAGATTTTTGTGGGTACATTGCGCAAGCTGATTCAACATCGGTAACTTGAAAAAGATGCGGTAATTACTCAATAAACTTTTACCCCAATCTGATAACTTACCGTCTCAGTATCAAACTAAAGAGTCGCTCCACTGGGACATCTTTTTTTGGCCAATGGTGGTCATTTAGGTTTTTGCTTTCCCGCTTTAGTGTGGGGTGTTGGGGTTAGATAGAGGCACCCAATCTGGACAAAGCCAGAGAATAGCCAACGAGTTTTGTATCAACTACCTTCAATCACTTGCCAAGATAAATGCCGAAGCAACCACAAGAATTGCAATAGCGCTTTTCATCTAAAGATAGCCGACGACTCAAAGTTCCAGCATTGCCGCCCCAACTCTGCGGCGCCAAAAAGAAATGAATCCCAGCGCTCGGGAATCAACATAACGCTCAGAAGGAATTTCATTCGTGCATATGAAACGAAGATGATGCCTAGCTCCCCTTCGAAGCGCCTGGTAGGGTTGCTCGGGACCCTAATTATTCCTAAGACGTGCTATGATCGAAAGGTATAAGAGGAGAGACCTTGTTCTTTTCTTGGGCATTTTTACTACATCTCATGCCCATATTACATTGTTCCCTCTCCACCCAAGGAAAGAAAAAGGACCTCACAACATCATGGCCACCAGAACTATTCACCTCATCTCTTTTCGCAATAGTTCATCTCAACGAGCTCACTTTGCAATTTTTGTTCCATCGGCAGCAGACCCTAAACGAGGGACTCTGATCCACGCCGTCGGTGCACCCATGGCGGGCTACATCCTCGAGTTCAAACGGAACTACTCTCCTGCTATGACCCAACAGCGCCATGAGACTTTTCCGATTGGCCAAGTTTATTCGTCCAATATCGTTGACTCCGTGGACACAGCGATGACCAAAGACTCAACTCCCAGAGGCAAGATTGAGATTGCTGCGTCTCAGGTCCCGACTCCTGGGATCAGTCAGAACTTCATGGCACCTGTCAATGATGTAAGTCCCCTGATTTGACTAATGCTTACTTTTCCGTGCTTATTGTTTATCTGCTTCAGACCACCAATAAGCGATGTCAGGAATGGACCATGGACTTCGTCCACCATTTAGTCTCCAATGGCCTCATTACAGCGGAAGCAATTCAGATTGTTCAATCCAAACGTGATCCCCCAAACCATGGAATCGGTCTTCAGCCCGCCGGAAGACGTTGAATTCATCCTGAGTTGGCTTTCAAGTACGAGCAGTTGACGGAAGACGGCCTGTGGCGAAGTTAGATGCAGCTTGGCACATACGTTCTTTTGTTGCATATCCCATTCTTTATCTAAGGACATAGCTGGCCAATACATTTTATCTCGCTAAACTACTCGGCTTATTCGGTTTCACCGCAGAGGATCCCACACCTTGGCTCCTCACTCGTGGTGTGCTAAAATCAAGGTGGATCCGTTTTTATTTTTATTTTTTTCAATGGTCTATTTTAAGTATTTCAGAACAGAGATCCAAGCGGTATACCTCCTACAGTTGTTATAATACGTGTGTACGTGCGTTCTCCTGCCGTTTTGTAATTTCTGTGAAGTATGCTTACTTCTCCTATCGGTGAGTAGCGTTCACTTCCAGGTAGAATTGGTTCACACTGAGCCCATTGCCATTGTGTACTCTGCGAATACCTCAAATTCTCGTAAGCGTGGACTTAGAAAGTTGTCGACCCAGTCTCGCCGCCACTCGTCCTCGTACCAACAAGTGTAGAGTGCCTTACAGTACTCCCAGTAGTCTGGATACCATCCCGCTTGGGCCCAGTCCACGATAGCAATGATTCGAGCTGGTTTGCTGGAAGAGATGATGATGTTCCCTCGGTGGAGGTCGCCATGAGTAAATTTAATAACCCCACCGTCCGGTAACAAAGACCTGTAGGGGTCGTTGTATTTCTTCGAAGGAGGAAGCCATGATTGTGGTAAGTAGGAAAACCAGTCGTTGAAATCCTTGATGGTGAAGAAAGGCCCAGTTTTCGGGTATGATTGAAAAACATAATCCAGGACTTGCTGGTGCCCCAGGGAACCTGGAAACATTCGATTAGATGTAAATAATATCCTTCACATTTTGACCGGGGCGTACCAATATACTGATCGGAAGGATCTTGTTCAAATCGGCGCAGACGGTTGACTATTTGACATAACTCATCGCAGAGCGAGCTTTTGTCCTGGCTATTGAGCTCATTCCAGCCATCCTGCAGCGTCTGTCCTTGGATAAGCTCCATATAGAGGAACACATAGTTCTCCTCGTCGACCCGCCACCCAAAAACTTCGGGAACTGGAATTTCGTCACCAAAGGTCCGTTTGATCATCCAAAGGCACTGCGCTTCTGCGATCGTGACATAAGGGCCAAACTTGACGAAGACTTTGGACTCTTCAAAGATAACAGGCTGCGGCTGTGGGTTCGCGTGGATGTCTTTCGACAAAGCCCTCACTTGCGCTGGTGTCGGAAGGCTTTTGCTGGGCTCTTTGAAGAAGGAAGAGTCGAGAAAGTTCATCTCTCGCATCGACTCATCGGGAAGATTTTTTGAAGATAATTTTGTCATTTTGGCTTGGGTGGCTTCCTTAAGGGTTGCTTAATGATAAGTGAATGCCTTTGATGAGATAACTTGTTGGATGAGGAAATAAAGCTGATGGGACCCTCTCAGATCGGCTCGGTATAGTTGGCTTATGTCAGCTAATCATGACTTCGGCAGAACAATTTTCCGTTTCCGGAAAATGGCGTAGTTGTAGATTGACAATTCAGGGATGGAATCGATGATAGCACAGCTATTTTTGGTCTTCGAGCGACATGTTTCCCATTTTTCCTAAGATTTCTGACCTCAGTTCCGGTTGGTTTGAAATAGCGTGTTCAATTATCGGTAGTACGTCTTCCCACTGCTTTCATTACGTGCACACACTCTGCAAGCAAGGGGACCTGTATTTCTCATTATACCGTTTGTTCAGAGAGCGTCCCAAGGTATCAGGGGCTCAATTTGCAGTTTCTCCATCCAAAAGCCGCTTGGGGCCATTTATTCACACATCCATCATAGGCTGAAATGCAACATCACGCTTGCCATTGTCTATTTAAAAACATTATTACGATGTTACCGATTGCATTACACCCGCCTACGCCAAACCAACATAAGACAAAGGTCTCTGCATAAAGGCACATCCCAGTGTGCAATAACAATTCGAAGGCATAATACCAATACTTGGATTATCCTTCTATGGAGAAATGCGCAATGATCTGAAACCATGAAACTCAGCCGACAACAAAAAATCACCCTCGGCGCCTGTTGGTAGGACTCCAAATTTAGAATACTGGAATGATTTAGATATGTATCAGATGAGGAATTATTCTACGATTGGTGAACTCATTCAATTATGGGACTGTACAGTATGTCGAGGTGGTTGATTGACGCATCTCAGCGCAAATAAGAACAGTCACATAGCCGCCACTACGTGGAGGCGCTTCATTTGCAAAGTTCTTATCCACTTCATTACGCCACCATATGCTTTCCGCTAGTGGTCCTTTTATTTTATGCCATTTCCCTCGTCTCGTTTGGATCATTCTCACGGTCACGAACACTCCGGGATTTTGTGGGTACATTGGCAGGCTGATTTAATTTGGTAACTTGAAAAAGATGAGATAATGACTCAATAAAGGTTTTACCCCAATTTGATAATATACCGTTTCAGTGCCAAATTAAAGGGTAGCTCCACTGGGACTCTCTTTTTGGCCGGTGGTCGCCATGTAGGTTTTTGCTTTCCCGCTTTAGTGTGGGGTGTTATGGGCGGATAGATGCACCCAATTTGGACAAAGTCAGAGAATTTCATGTATAAAATACTCGTTTCCTTCATTTCTGCCATTAATAAGCAGTGCGGGGAAGTATTCCATAGAACTAGCCGTTCCAGGGCTTAAAGATCCCAGTTCCAGTACCGACACCCACCTTGACCCTCATACATCAAATATCTACCCTGAGACGAAGTTGATTGGGCCGTAAGTTCTGCTTTGATATTAGGCTGAGGATTTTGGACCGGGCGTATCGCTCTCCGGCGCTTGCTGAACCCATGACACAGATATATCCATGACCTGGGGCGGCTGTGGTACATATAGGGAGCCACAAGTGACTTGGAGCTAGCGCGTTGATTCTGGTGGCTTCGTTGGCTCACGTTGGCCTATCATTGTTTGAACAGCCCCTCAGTTAGTTGACTGTTGCAGGGCCTGTAGCAATATTGCCAGTGAACAAATTAGGAATGCGGCAAAATTGGAGCAAGCAGAGTTGGTCTATTCTTCATTGAACATTCAGCGCTTAGATCAAACAACAAGTATTTCAATGTCTTACCGTTGAAGCACTTATTTGGGTATATATAGCAACTATTGAGCTTCCATTCTCACCGTCACTCTTATCTGATACCAACGGCTTTCTCAGTCAAAAACCCCCTTAACAATCCATTGGCGGCCTCAGTCTACTTTCGAGACCTTCTCTCTGAATTGGCTCTAGAATATCCAGAGCATGAGCAATAAACGCCAAGTCTTCCTTTCGCTTCATCATCGTGATGCTCTCTCTATCGGTGGGAACAGGCAGCGATTCGGTCATGCGGCCTACCACTGGGGGATTCTCATTTCGCCCAAAAGTTCCAAGGGGCCAGATTGTTATGCTTTCGACGTAAGCGATGGAATTCTCCTCGATCCAGTGCGCAGAGTCAATCTCAACCCTGAAGGCAACTGGCTCTTTCGAGAAAAAGCAAACATCAATCCGGAAAAGAGCGGTCACCTTCTTGGAAGGGTCATGATTGGGAAGGTGCCCAATGAGGTTACCTACGCAGAGATCCATGGTCTTCTCGGAGCGATCCCACTTCCCCATAAGGGTACTCTGCCGGAGCAAAACTGCGTCACTTGGACGAGAGCCGCCATTTGCAAGCTTCAGGAGAACGGTCTCGTGGAGCAATTCGACCTCGACCGGTTCATGGACGAGTCGCTTGCTTTCGCGGATCAACGCTTGCAAAGCACCGAATCTACGCCCGCCAGCATCAACTACACTGGTCGGCGTATGTGAATTTCTAAGCGTCTCAGATCTCAATATCTCCCAAGCTCGGAATCAGATGCTCCCTTCCACGCCAAAGAAGTTGTGGCTCGTCTAGTCGCCTCCACAGAGTTTGTTCCGCTCTGAGCTCGTCGTCATATCTCTCCATAGCATTTTCCAATCCATCATACCACTCTGGCCGATCTATCTGCCCGTAGTGTGCCTTGGTATACTCCCAATATTCTGGGTACCAGCCGCCAAATTGCCAATCAACAATCGCAGAGACTTTCCCATTGTCCACCATGATATTCCGGGGGCGACATCTGCGTGGCTAAAGCAGCTTCGATAATGACGGGTGTGGCATTCAGTCACCTCTGGGCCGATTACTTCGTTGCAGTCCTCAATCGGAACGTTCGCCCGAAGGTATGAGTGGAACCCTTCATGACTCGTGAAAGGCCCAAAAGTATAAGATCCGACTCGGTGATCCAGGGCCTCGTCGAAGCTTGCCGATGCAACTATTCCTTCTTGCGGAGGTTCTAGTCCCCGAAGCTGGCTGATGTAGCCCGCAACCTCTGTGATGATGTATTTCTTCTGGTTTTGCGACAGGTGACCGCGGTACCATGCTGCCTCGAGGCTCATTCCACGGACATACTCCATTTCAATATAAATATTATCATCGTAATAGTGGACGTTGAAGACTTTAGGGACGGGAATTGATGTGTGCTCAGCGACGTATTTCAAGGCAGCTAGCTCCGGCATGGCACAAGGCCCTTTGATCATTCTGCTAGGGCTGACTCGGACTCCATGTGGTCCGACTGCTCCAAAGAGTTTCTTGCCAATCCATAGTCGGAGTAGAAGAAGACAAGAGGTTGCGCGGTAATTTCTCTCCTTTGCCATGGCTCGCTTAACTCAGCAGATGAGTGCCGCATTAACAGTCAATCGATATTCTTGTGTATGATTGATGGAGTGACACGTTGCGGAGAAAGGTGGAACGAAGAGCCGTCCACCAACACATCCACGGATATTGATTTGTGTAGCGCTCGGGCTTATCGCTATGGTGGTTCTTGGGGCAAGCTATTTCTTTAGCCCGACCGATTCCACTGTACACATGATTAGTATGTGCATGGCTTCTGCTAGCCCATGAGGCAAAAGCATCTCATTACCTGAAACACTAAACTCTAGGAAAACGCGCTTTCCAGAACGCACGATCGATCGTCTAGGTCCTTGCGGCGGATGATGGGGCGAGTAGATGGCGACGGCGATGGTTCAGATGAAGAGGAAAGCAGTGCCGTCCGATTTGGGCAAATGGAATCGCTTCAAAGCCGCGGGGTTTAGCGGCGGCACAGGTTGTGGGAAATGCGGTATGAGGGTGATAATGCTTGAGCGACGATGGGTAACAGTCCGGGCAGTAGGGGCAAGCGGTCAGTTGGTTGGTCGTTTTGGGGATTAGCGCGGTCCGCGATCCCCCGTCAGGGATGCAATAAAGATGCTCAGCTACTATTATCGGTATTTTCAAATGGGATCCACGAATGTGCACCATAGAAATTCTGAGTCTTATGCCACATGAGATATTTTCTTTATGGGCCAAGTGTCACGGGACTCTTGGCACAAGTACCCTCACTGAATGTTCGACTTCTATGCTTGGGTTGCGATCTGTATGATTTGTTCCAACAGCTAGCTGCCTCTTTGCAGCTATTGCAGTGTTTTAGGGGGGACGTTTCTCATTATGCTGTCTGTATCTATAGCGTCCCAAGGGGTAAGGGTTTCATTGTACTGAATTTACATCAAAAAGCGCATGGTTTTATTTCGGGGGCGTTTAGTTGTACTTCAACATCATAGGCTGAATTGAATTGTCGCGCTTGCCATTAATTATCCAAGACACTATCACGATATTACCAATTGCATCACACCTGCCTACGTCAAATCAACACAAGGGCCGCTTCAAGTGCAGGGCAAGGCTCTTGGTGCAATAGGGAACAAGTGCATCCATTAAAAATTAACAGGAACAGTGAGAGCTCCAAAGTCAACGAGGATGTTCAGGATCGCTTGACCGGGCCGTGAGAAATTCCGACGCCTTGCTTGCCACGGCATTTGTGCTCCAGGGCTTCCAGCAATCGATATATGTGTCTTTCCAGCTGACGGCCTTGGCCTCGCGAATCCATAGTTGCACTTCTTTCTTAGTTAGCTGCTCGGTGAATTCACCGCCGGTCAACAACCCGTCCACCAATTGTTCGAACTTGTCGCAACAAGCGATAATATGCTGGCAGTTCCAAAGAACATACAAAATAAAAGCGTCCAATGAAAAGGTTTTGCTTTGTCTGCAGAATAATTAGCAGAAGACGCGCAACCAGGGAACTTGGAGAAGCTCTACATTTTCTTTCCCGTTTCTTGACTACACAAGAGAAAAAAACCGCGTCCCAGATGGCAACCGGACCACCACCAGCGCTCACCAACTAGCTTGTGCTCGTGAAAAGACTTCCGAGTCCTCTCCCCTATTGCTTTAGAAAGGGACGCTGTGCCACAGATGATGTCTGTGGCTTTGACCTTCGCGGTCTGGGGGGATGACCGGCATCTTTTTGTCTGCGAAGTTCTTTGATATACGCCAGATAAAGCATGATATCCGCAAGCCGAGATTTGAGGTAATGTGTCTCTTCGCCTGTCTGCATAGCATCTACGTATCTCCAAATTGCAAAGCCTTTGGTGTTGGAGGATACGAGGGAATGATTCTCCACGTCAAGCCGTGGAGAGTCCCAAAATCCGGTAGCCTTCCATGATTTGGTGTGCTTTTCCATGAACTCAGGCAAATCAGGTCGCGAGATACGATTGCATTTCCTTTCAATCTCAGCTTTTTTTTCCGATGATAGGGTGGACAGGAGAGAATGGCATAATAAGGGACCGCTCCATTTGTCTTTATCTGAATTGGAGGGTACGGATGTCTTGAGATGAGCAACACTTGAAGAATCTGCGCGATTTTTGGCCACTGAATCTGCTAGGACTCCTTCCGAGGATGAATTTTTGCCAACATCCTCTGCAATTTCGTCGTCATGCGGGGCTTGATTCCCACCTTTTCCCTTGTCAAGACGGGGCCTGAGGTTCCTGGTGTAGAGAGTTGAGTGTGGTTCAAGTCCGGCAGGAAGCTTCCGTTTCTGCTGCAAGATCTGGCGGTTCTCATACTCCAAAGTCTCTTGACTACTATTAGTCTGTTGTTCTCCATTGGGAAACTTATGCTGGTCGCTTTCATTGAAGGCAGGAGAAATAGACACCGGAGTTAAGCTTTTTGGATTTGACTCGGTATTCACGGAAGTATTGGCATCAGTTGAAGGGGTCTCACTATTGCAAGAAGTGTCCTGCAAAAACCTGACCGTATCTTCCAAGGCGGACTCAATGTCCGAATCTCCAAAGTCTTCATCCATCGATAAGTCTTCATCATTGATGGATGAAGTCTCCGGATTATCAAGTTCGGCATCATCGGGGGCATCTTCGACTGTTGGCTGCAATTTCGAGAAAGTGCATGCACTCTGACGTTTGTCGACAGTTCGATCTTCTGAGTCAACGTCGCTTGTTGTCACTTCAGCCGATCGCTCCACACGCCTAGTCGTGACTGGCGTATCCGGCGAATTTGAAAAAGGCGTGGGATAAGAGATACCTGCAACTGGATACAGAGATGGAGAGGATGATCCCACGGCTGGGCGATTCTCAATTGGATTTTTGCCCGTGACATCTTGTTGTGCTTCTTCTTCAGCATCCGATACTTCCATCTCATTCAAACCCCCTTCTTCCATGATGCCAGCGGAAGCATGATGCGGTGGAGTTTCTGGTGACATCTCACCTATTCCTACAGGGCGGCCGCATACAGGAGATTGAGACGTTGGGATGCTAGCCATGGGACCATCTTCATCGAGAGCTATGCCGGGGGGCATTGACCTTCGGACCCTCCTGTCAAATGTAATATGGATGAATCACTTTCTTTCGTTGGATCGCAGGGTCCAGGAGCGAAATTGAGTGAAGGGTCTGGTGCGTTTAGATTGTCACATTCTCGGAGTACCCAGTCGAACTCATTGGAGGGACAATCATCGTGTGGGATGACGGGAGACGGATTGGCATGGAGATTGGGGACTGTTTCTATATTCCTAAGTTAGCCTTTGTTTAAACGTCAATAGCCCGATCTCTGCGGGTTTTGATCATTACCGCGTGGGGTTGAGGCTGGTTGACTCAACATGACTCCCGCGTTCGAAAGTGTCAGGGTTGGAAAACGGCTAGGATCAGGCGTTGAAACGCAGGGCGCCATCTTGCGGTCTCGTACGTCCATATTCGTCGTGAGTAAGGAAGGATCTAAAAATTGAGCAAAGTAAGCAACGGTAATTCTCGTGCGTTAGAAACATAAAGCATTACCGATGCAGACTGGCTCAAGCGATCTAGCATGTGCGACACTACCAAAGGTCGAGGTACCTGTTGCAGGCGACTTCACTTGGCAGCATTCCTTGATATCAAAGTCGACGAGACAATCTGTGCTCGTTCGGGCTCGCTCGTAGAGGAGGGCGATCTCATCGCGAGAAAGGGAAGATAGAACTTTGCAGCAGTGGCAGAGTAAGCGTGCAATCTACATTTAAATTAGATACCTTGCGACCGGTGGGAGGTGGAAATGACAAACCTCATCGGCTGACGGACGGGATAGTAAGTCGTTGAGAATGTTCTGCTCTGCATCATGAGTATTCTGTAGGCAACGTCAGATGATGAGAGATTGAAGCAAGAAAGCTACTCACATTCAGAGTTAATCTAAGTTGGAGCATTTCCGACACAAATGCTTTGGGTAGGGAAATAGAAAGTCCAGTGACGAAAGCTGTGATATGGCCGGGCCACTGGAAGGTGTCGTAGAGTAGAGTATCGTAGAGAGATGGGCGGGCGAAGAAGACCTGAACCGGGGGAATTCGCCCTCTGCTCGGGGTTCACTTCGGGCTCGCTCACCCTCTCTGATCATGAGGGGTGTTGAATTCGCACACTTCGACAACTCGATGAACATAACCTGAAAAGAGGGCCGAAGGTATACGCGCCATTTCTAAAAACTAAGTCACTCCTGAAAAGGCGTTGAAGCACGAATCTTTTGATCATCTTGAAGGCAAGAGGTGAGACACGGAGTGCGGAGTGGAAGCTCAACGGGGTGGAAGTTCAACGGGGTGGAAGTTCAACGGGGTGGTTAAAAAGGTAGGCCCGTTTTAACAGGTCTGAATTAATCAATGCCTGGTGCAGGAAGATCATGTGAACCGAGAATGGACCAATGAAGGTGAGACATGGGCCTTACGAAGGCTTACGTAGACAGAGCGCTCACTGAGCGCTCAGTGCACTCCGAGCGCGGATGGAAAATCTTTGTTCCTTCGCACTGAGAAAGAGGGGGGCAGGGGGATAGTGGAACTTCCGAGAAGGTTCTGGTACCACGTGACCGTGTCGAATATTCGATACGATCACGTGAGCTCTCTCATCAAAGGCTGGAGTCTACACATGACCGTACTGTACATACCAAATTATTTGATGCTGTTAATTGATTTTTATTCCCCTCAACGCGATGGAACAGGACAGCACAGCCCTATATTCAATTTCGATTTTCCAGCCTTCTACAGTATACAAGGACGAGTATCTACCCACAACGATACTGTAACAATAACATATATATATCAATTCATTTTATATCCGCCCGCAATTCTTCCTCTTCCAACCACTCCAAGCAAGGAATAATGTCTTCCGTGGTCTCCCTGATTGGCCGTGGATAATGATTGTCCTGTAAGTTGATAAGCAAAATGGCTTCCAGCACGACAAAAACTCATACCATGTCCATTTCTGCTGGAAGCCACTTCTTCTTACTTGACTCGAAGATGTATAGTTGACCACTTTGCCGATTTCGCACGGCTACAAAGACGTCCGACTCACAGTTAATACTGTACTCAGCTGCCTTTTTGAAAAGGCCTTTTCTGCGCCGGCGTACTTTCTGTGCTCTCGCGCGAGGGCTGTCTTGTTTGGCAGTGATTTTAGAGAGTAGCTCGGAACTTGGAGCCATTGGATATATGAGAATATTTCGAGTTACTGTAAGCTTGTCCGCTTCGTGGTTAATATATCTTTGCTCAAGGTCTCAGTGAGGGTCCTCTGTATTCCGCAAGGAAGCAGCATTTATTATGCTGCTCGACCCATCCACAGCGACCAAGTACCTAACCTTTAGGGTTTTTCGAGTATAGTGACTCTCAGCGACCTATTTTAAGGTCGGCTTGTAAATGATCCTTCCTCTATAAGAAGGACATAACAGTTCGGGTTTCACTTTGCTTTCAGTTCGCAACATGGATATCTTGACTATTTATGCGATCGCCGTTGGCGGCGTCTTCACAAGTCTTGTTATCTTTAGAACCTTGAAAGTCTTTGCGCCCTGGAGTAACGCGATGAATGTCTTTATTTACCAGCATCTTGCATATCCGTATGTTCTTGGCCGCCATTCACTTCTGGGGCCTTGGACACGAGCCGGTGTTTTTCTTCATTTGATCTACCTCGCAATCAACCTGCTGCTCCTGTTTTTCAACAGTATATCTATGGCAGCCACAGGTCGCCGAGCGGGAACTCTATCGCTACTCAATATGATATTCCTTCTGGCTTCATGGCATCTGAGCAACTTGGCTGATATTCTCGGGATTTCTCTGAGAATTTACCGACAGATGCATCGCACTGCAGGCTGGATGGTGGTAGCTTTGGTAGTGTTTCATGTTTTTGCCATGTTACAGGGCAAAAGCCATGAGGGTCAGGAGATAAATACTGGGCGCCTTTCTGCAATAATTGTGTGTAAAGTGAATCAGTCATTACCTGGATCTGATCTAACAACATATTGATATTTAGGGCGCTGGGTGTCTATGCTCGCTTGTCATTTTATCCCTGCCTTTCTGTCGAAAAATTTCATACGAGTTGTTTCTTCGGCTCCATCAGGCACTCGTAGTTGCAAGTGTTTATGGGATTTGGCGGCATCTTCCCGGTGAAACGTATTCCCCCGGTTCTATCTCTACGTTGCGTTGGGAATTTTGGGCTGTACGTCCCTCTCCCACTTGATACTCCTTCTTTATAGGAATGGTCTCTTTTCTGGCAACGGATGCCCGAGAGCTATTGCGATCTGCCATACGAATGAACGCGACGCAGAAAATGCAGGCCAACACGTGAGGACAACGCCAATTCGAGTCCGCCTCATTCTGCCAAGGCCAGTCAAAGCAATGGCCGGGCAATACATCAACCTGTGGCTGCCTTCGCTGAGTTTATGGTCCTGGGCACAGACGCACCCATTTATGATCACGTCGTGGTCTCGGGCAGACCAGGATGTGTTAGATCTCTTGGTAGAGCCCCGTGGAGGGCTCACTAAAGCTCTTGTCCGCCAGGCGCACGCAGCAGCAAAGGACAACTTCTCTTCTTTGGCCCTTTATAGCGGCCCCCACGGGATCAGCGAGTCTGTGGATAAATACGAGAGCGTCCTGTTGGTAGCAAGTGGGGCAGGTATTGCCGCTATCATTCCTTATGCAAAGAAATTGATCCACGGTTATAACACGTGCACATCGCATGTCCGCAGGGTGCACTTGATATGGCAGGTAGAATCGCTTGGTTGGTTTTTTTGCTCTTGATGAACAAAAGGGGATAGGCTGACTAGATAGATGTTGCTATATCTATGCAAGGCCTCCTGAACGGTTTGTTAAAAGACGATGTGCTAGATGATGGCTACGTTCGTTTGAAGGTGTTGTTTCATGACCATTAGCTGACGAAGCCTTAGATACTTGCCATATCTGTCTACGTTGGGCGAGGGCCTCTCACACATGAAAAACTGCCCTTTGGCAAGCACGAACGAGCTTTTCTATACCAGGGCGCTCCGGACTATTCAATCATCATTCCTACGGAGGTTTCCGGTGAAAAAATCGAAAGACTCCCCAATATCCGAGACGAGAGAGGCCAAATGCTATTGATCGGTAGGATTCTACGAGCACGATAGATTGCCAAACGCTGACATGGTAATGTTTATAGCTTCCACCTCGGGACATTTGCGAGATACTCTGCGAAATATTGTCCAAGGATATTTACACCAACGCTTGCAAATGATAGAACTCGAGTATCAGCTATAACTCTGAGGCTCTGTTTGATAAGATTGCGGGGCAGGTGGACCTATCATCTGAGGGCTCAGGGTGTTGTGTAGTTCCTTGCGTGCGTTGGAATTAGAACGTCAATAGCAGATGTGGTTTTGCGAGAATAGGCTTAGGTGATGGGGATCTACAATAGACATGCAATTTGGACGAATCAGGGTGTGGGGGCTGCGACACTATTTGGGGAAGCGGCACTGTTTAGGTGCCGCACCCGAACTCTGTAGTTTAGGCCACGATTTGTCGCTGAGACCACGATTTTTTGCTCAGGCCACGATTCGGTGTCGCGGCCACATTTTGGTGCTCAGTTCTGCTCAGTCCGATGATGTCATTTCTTTGGGCAATTCATCTTGCCCTTCTATATTCCAGCGTTTCTGAACGATTCTGCTCAGGGAACGTGACTGATCATTTCCCACACTATTTCAGCCTTTTTGCTTCCCGTTCTCCGCTCCTTGTTTCGCCCATTCTTGGAATCCCAAATCTCTCTGCCTAGGCGCTTCTGCACCGTCCATTCTTTATTCTTATTGACGACATTATTAATTTGTTCCTGGTTCTTTCCCTTTACCGAATACTGCCTACGCTAGACCAGAGTTACGAATTTCTGGGGTTGTATGCTGAAACTCACCAGGCCTGAACTCCTAAGTATTTAGAAGTGGAAGTCAAGGTAAACAAGCATTTTCTTCTTTTTCAAGAACACCTATCACATTGCCAGTGTGAGCTAATAATGAAATAGCAAGATGGCCGAATCTACCGGTCTCATGGACGATACGATTGACTGGATCAATCATAAAACTCACACGCCAAATCCTGTATCAGATCAGCTTTCCGGACCACAATGCGACCATCTTGATTTCACACCCAACCTGAAAATTCCGCCCATTTCGCAAGGCTTTGACAGCTTTCCCACTACTGGGAATGTCATCAACTATGCTTTCATTACCAACAGCAAGATCAGAAACACGGTCATGAACAAAGTTGTCTGCTTTAACGTTACGATGAGAGATCCTCGAATTACAAATACTTCGATCCTCAATTATGTGGATACAAACCGCATTCCCACTTTCACAACGCTTGATAACGCTGATATTGACGACGCTTTTGTCTTCAACTCTATCATCGTCACCTCTAATATCGACAATTGCGACGTTGCTGAATCAACCCTTGGCAATGCTAAACTCATTAATCCCGTCTTCTGCCCGTTTCTGTTTCCAGAGCTACCGCTTTCAGTCCAGCACAATTCGACCAACGCCGGGGTCCAGATTGATTATAATATAACACCTATTACGACTTTTAACACACCCGACATTACATCTCAAAACCAAGAAATATCGAATTATTCAGCTCGAGGCATGCAAGGGGCTCTCCGAAATGACACACACGTGGCTACTCAATTATCATTGAACCTGCTCGAAGAGGCTCAGGCTCCCTTCCAGGATTCCATACCGGATATTGGCAGCCACGGGGAACACAACAGTGAAGACCAAGTGGAAACCTCGACCGAAAATGTCTCGATTCTACCAAATGTATCATCACCTATCGGGATTTATGCGACCCCCATTTCTGATTGCAGCACACCCTATGACAAAGTTGCTGCGCCATCTTATAAGCCAAAAAAACGAACACGAAAACAATTGGTTTTGAAAGGAAAGAGAAAGAGACGAACAGAACCAAAGCCGCGTGTGGAGAATACAAATAAAAACATTCTTGCTCTTCTCAAAAATTGCGTTTGTGGGAGCAAAAGCAAAGAACTCAACAACAAACAAGCACGGGAGGTTCAGACAGTTGCGGATTACATGCTTGTGAATGATTGTCATGCATTATTACAGCCTCAACTAAAGAAATGGCAGAAGAATTTGTCCAGTGATAAGCACGCCCTCGGATTCCCGCCTTTGGAAAAGAGTGCGACAGCTGCGGCGAAATACTTCGACCTACTCCAGTCTGAGAGACTTCTTAAGTATAGCCTGGAACACCGCATGGCGCTCATTTCTTTTTACTTGATTTATCTTGAAATCGCCCGTGAAATGAGGGATAATGAAGACCTCGGTGACTACGAGCCTCGATCTGGAGACGACAGATTTACAACAATGGCCAACGACAAGATCCTAGCGACAATCCACGGGATTAAAGTACAGACCATCAGCAAGGAAGAAATTGATCGTGGTAGAGCAAGGCTGAACGAGTTTCATCGCTGGGGCAAACGATGGTGGACGCTTGCGAGTGGTGTCGGTCTTGGAGTACTACTTGTACCCGGTGAACAGCTCGCTATGGCAATGTGAGTGATTCCGAAACAAAACTAGCTTTTCTTCCAATACTGACTCCGCCTGATATTGCAGCAGAAACGAGAAATTTGCCATGAGCCAAATAAACGCGTTGATAACGTATATCAAAGCTGCTCGCCCAGGATGCCTTTTTTTCTTCAAATCATTGGAGAATATCGCAAAGGCAATAATGTTTGGGCAACTGCCTGGTGACCTGATCCAGGCTTTGAATGAAAAGGAAGGTGACCTTCTCGGCCGGACTACACTGATGCGAGTAAACGAGCAGGATGAGATGAGCTTGTCTATTCAAAAGGACTCAGATTCTTGGGAAGATGTGGAGATGGAGTCACTCGCGTTGCAGAAAGCTGCTTTGTTTTTTGAACCTTGAAATTGTTGAAATATGTACTGTATAGGTAATATTTCTATTCATCGCAGAGCGCTTTTAGGAATACGTTGAGCTTGCGTTTCATGAAAATAATTTAAATTCAGACTTTGTATCAGACTGGGTATTTTTTTTTTCTGAAACAAAGTAGGGTTTTACTTGAAGCAGTGTGGCTCATCTCATACAGACACACACATACACACACACACACACAATTCATTACGCCCGGAGGTATCAAGCCTAGAGGGCACCTATACGCTATTTGATCTTTCCATTGCATACATTTTGTCATAGCCTCATTTTCGAGAGGAAAAGCTGAACCAGCTGCAAAAAACCCCTCCAGCCCATACGGTATGTCTTAACGATTTCTCTTCTTGTTGTTGTTGTCATATCATCTCCTCCAAAAGCAATAACCCATCCCTCTGTGACACCGGACCCCCTACGTGTCCATTCTCGATGTAGTTTTCGTGAACCTCTTCCCTGAGTAGCGGTTTACCGAGAGTACTTCTCATATTAACGCCCGAAGTAGCTGACTGCCTCGCTGGCAGCAACACCAGATAGCAGACGAAGGACTGACGAATCGACATGCGATCGAACCGGTAGGGCAGGTGAGTTATTGTGAGCAAAACCCGGTGAGGGTAGGTTGAAAATGTGTAGGCAGGTCGGTTGTTCGAAGGCTCGTCGGCATTGCGACGTTGTTGACGTGTCCTTTTGAAGGCTTCCCGCCGCGTCGTCACAACCAATAAAGGAGTTTCCACCGGAGTTTCGATTTGAAAAGTTCTCAGTTTCGGTCAGACATTGCAGTCCAACTTACTGACATCCCTCCCCACGGAGAAGGTGACTTTCCATGAGGGACTCATCTCATACAGTAAAATTCGAAATCAGCTTTACCACCGAACTCTTTCACTCTCTTTCCCAGCGCCCCACCCAGATTGCGCTAAACTGTATTTGGCCACGGAAGGTCCCCCAGACTAATGGCATATGTACCTTTTGCCGATCGTGAAAAATACCGTAAGCCCGATTACTGGTACCAGACACCCTGCGTTCCCAATATTTCTCTCCCGGGCCTGAGTGGCTTTTCGATTGCTCTAGGCTTCTAATATCAAACTTTTGAGGCTTATTTTCCAGTGCAATGATTCACTACTTCGCGATGCTAATTCTGTGATGTATCCCAAGCAGATAGCTCCCTTACATATTCACTGTGGTTGAGCCATTTGTGAGCCCTGGACCCTGGTCAAGCTTTTACTCAGGTTAGACATCTTTTCATTTTATCACCTAACACACAAGAGGTCTTGATGATGGCCTAGCATTGTCATTATTAGACTAATGGTGTGTGTTGGACAAGTCTATGACAAAAATTGCCACCCAACTCAAAATGTAAAGACCCGACTCTTGTGTGTATTTCTCGGCAATAAATACCATGACATTGCTGCTGATCGGCAGCTTGCTGAGCGGAGCAGATCTATCATAAATTCTTATTTCCGTAGTAAAGTTCTTCCGCCCGGCTGGCAACAATTCAGCTGTCTCTTTCAAACCCCTAGGAGGTCTGCCTTTGCATCCATCATGAGAGTTCAGGCGAAGTCCTCTTTGTCCTTCATCTTTGCGACTAGAGCTCACTTTACTTGAAACTACGTTTCTGGAAAATATGTCATCAAAACTTCCATCAACGTGTATGTGCTGTGTAAACTGATCACCACCCCCTTGAACCTCCAGCGCAGCGAATTAATAAAGCCAGCAAACGTGGCAAGCCAGGCTCCACAGGATTACGCTCCTGCTCAGCATTTTGCCCTCATCTATATGGATCAATATGGGACACTTCACTATGAGGCGTCCCCTTCAATCGTCCATTATCGCGACACTATCCTTTCCCCTCAAGTCACCGCGGAATTCCTGAAAGCGGTGGCGAACTCCACTGAAGTTGGCCTGCGAAGGTCCTCCCTGGAATTCGCTTCCACCCAGCTATTTCCTGATCACCTCGGGAACTATGACTCTCACGATTCTCGGTTTCCGAAAGGAATACAGGCCGAGGGACACGATGTGCCTACAACATATGGATATCATTCACAGCCTCACCTATGGCCAGGCCATGATATAGCTACCCCCGCCATCTTGAAAGATAAAGTGCTTCACAAGAAGAGATCTTGTTTGCAGAAGCACGGCCTGGAGCTCCAAGAAGCAATGTTATCCATCAAAGATACGAAATTTCTCCGCCGATACTACGAAAAGGTCTTCCACAATATACAGCAAACTAATTGCCGAGTCCTGGCAAAAGCCTATGTGAAATGTGTTGAGCCCCACAAGCAAGTCAATTACCCTTATAATGGGCGGAAGACCGTGGCGGGGGAAATACGACAATTAAGTTCCGAGCAGAGTAAGCCACCATGGTGGCCTCCTCAAGTGCGCCATCGGGAACCCGATCATCTACTCAAAGCAGGTAACAAGACACTTTACTGCGCATGATACCCACTAAGCTCATCATCTCACTAGAACGCATCGCGCTTCTTCTCCATATTCTTTGTGATTTGCGCTGCAGTCACGGCGTCACATCACAAAAACTGAAAGATGCAGAGCAATCTGTTCGGTCGCATATTATCCCGGTTGAACGTTTAGAACTCCTAGATGAGTTGTATCGTGTTAGAGGAGAAGAGGAAAAGCTTTTGATGGGGCTTCTTGGTAAGGGCTTGCAACCACCCATTCTTCACAAGCTAATGAAGTACATCTAGAAAAAGACGCAGCTGTTCTTATCTCGCGGATCAATTTACCCGCTTCCAATAAAATACCCAGCAAACAAACCCAGCCGGACAGTTGGGTCTCTCTGAAGTACAAAGAGGGTGCAGCAACATACGAATCGTCCTCTCACAAACAAGATTTGTACAATGTGCCTATATACCCGCAGCGTAACTTCACAGGATACACCACTCGCCAAGAAGACATGATGGATTCTTTTCCGGTCCCGGCAATGTCATCCACTCCACTTGGAAAAAAGCGCCCGATGATCGACGAGACATATCCTTCTACGGCAATTTTCAGTCCCACACATTTGGTATCCTCGCAGTGTGTCACCAGCCATTCTTTGTTTGTGAATCTTCCAGTAATGGAGGATGTGGGGCCTAGGCTACAAAATGGTCCCGGATTGGTTCATGCTGAAATGGCACTATTTGCAGATCGCACTCAAATTTGCACAATTTAGAGATATTTACCATCACTTACTCTCACTGACTCTAGCCTGTCTTGTTTACTCTAGTCGCCAAAAAAGATAAACAAGACATTTTCCCCCTGGAATAGGGTCTGGTTGGCACGCCATATAGCAAAGGTATAAGCTTTTCACCTACATGCATCCATTAACATCTTTTTTCCACCAATGCCAATCAGGTTTAGGCTGAGAGAGTTCTTGAAAGCGTGGTCTCTAAGTGAAAGCCTGTCACAACTCAGCTTTTCCATGTGTATCTTCCAGGTCACGGGGCATAAGAGTCAACGAGATAGACACTTTTGAAAAAAACACTCTATGAGATTGTAGAGAGATCCTCAGTCAAGAAATATGCTACCGCATACTGTGATAGATCGTCTATGCATTGTGATTGAGCTAACTTGCGGCGTAAAAACTATCCAGTGCTGCACGAGCAGAAGTCACACTTGCTTTGAGACTAGTGAGCGCGCAATATGTATGAAGGAAAGCAGCTTCTTCTTTACAATGCCCCGCTCTATCTCCGTCGTCCATCTTTGTGCTCGCTATTCGAATGTTTTCACAGCTCTCATTGATCCTGTACATCCCTAACATCTTTGATTTGCGTCGAAGATCGTCACAGAATGATCGCAACAGAAGTGTGTCATCATTTAAGCTGATAGATGTTAGCATGCTGCAAATTTAACGTAAGTTTGAAGGCTTACAAGGCTTTCTCCATTTCCTGAGTCGCAGTTATTGCCACTGCAATATGTGCATATAGTGTTGTAGAGCTGGTTAAACGATTTTCCTCATGATCCATCTCTAGCAGTTGCGAGAAAATTGCCGCGTCAAAATTCCGCTTAAGGTTGCTTTCGAATTGCTCATTTGTCATATTTTAAAATGTAATCAAAGAAGACCTGCATGCTGTAGTAGTCGCGCTAACTGAAAAATAAACGCCTGGTGGGAATTCTTATATGCAGTGAGAAATGAGTTTGTATTTGCCGCTGAAAAGGCCCAGAGCAATCGAAAAGCCACCCCAGGCGGCCCGGATGATTGGGAACACGGGGTGTCTGGTACCAGTAATCGGGCTTACGGTATTTTTCATGATCGGCAAAAGGTACATATGCCATTAGTCAGGGAGGCCTTCCGTGGCCAAATACAGTTTAGCGCAATCTGGGTGGGGCGCTGGGAAAGAGAGTGAAAGAGTTTGGTGGTCAAACTGATTGAATTTTGCTGTCGATGATTCTCAGTGAGCCTTACCCAAGTTCGAGACCTATTCTCTCCCATCAATCAAGCCGCCAGGGCCAAAATTTCAATGCAAAATTAAGAGTAGATTATTCTGTGGTCCTGCAAGACACCTTACATATAAATGCCAATTACCTGTCAATCAAAACTGTTAATTTGATTTATGCAAGAATGAGAGATTGATGCATTTAACCATCATCAAATGAGGACCTATATTAATACCATTCCAAACCTTACTCTTTGTAAGAATAAAAAGTACATGCAGAGACGATGGCAAGTCGCGCTAGCCCAACTAAGCTGCCGGTGGAACAAGTTGCTGCAACAAGCGGATGCTAAAGACTGTCAATGTTTGATTTAATCAGAAAATATTGCTTCAGCTTACCTGTGTCAGTTCCATTACAGACCTAGCTGACGTTGTCGATGATAGAAAATCAACGGCATTCGAATCGATGGGCCACCGAGCTGGATCGTCTATCCCCACATTCTCTTTGACATATTTCTGCATCAGCTCCATTGTCAGAGATCCCAAGCCTTTCAAGGACAAAGACTGAGATTGTTCCGGCGTGTAGGGCACAGTGAGTTCTAAACTAGCTATCACGACAATCAGTCTTTCACCGGCGATTTTGAAGTGCTAAGTACAATACCAATTTTCACCACTCCGTCTAAACTCATTAGAGTAGTGGAGCACTTTAAAGACGAATGTTCATAGCCGCATTCAATCAGATAAGACAATCCGTCCATGACCTTTTTCATATGAGCAAAGTCGTCTTTGGAAAACGGCGGTAACAAGAACTTACTTGTTTGACAATGGAAGCCAGCTGGACCTCACTGGGATAGGCATCGCTGGCGACCAGGTGCTCTAAACTGATCGGTAGGTCATCAACAATGAAGTGGTTCACTCCATTGTCCTTGAAACATTCACTGGCAGAAATTATGTTGAAGTGGTCGAAGCGCGTATATTTGTGGAGTGACTCCTCTCCATCGGTTCTTGACGAGCTTCGTATGGCTACTACTTTAGAACCCCGGCGACGATGTTCGCAAATCGATACTGTACCGGCAAGATCGCATGTAAATATGGGCTTATAAGTCTCCCACGGGGAACAAGTTCGTATAAGTGGAGTCTGCGCCAACCCTCCAGTATCGACAATGGTGGGGAGCTCCAGTGTTTTTGGCGAACCTCTCAGAATCTTGCGAGAGCGATCTTGCTGAGCCGCAGGGCCCTTTTGGTATTTGATAGAGCTTTGGGTATGGCCTGGCTGATCAGTGAAATTGTGAGGCTGCGTTTCTGCTGCCGTGACCGACGAAGAGAAATGCGCCTGAGCTTGCAACATGTCAAACCGAGTAGCCCGTTTGTCTTGGTCTCTTTTCATGTTTGAATATAGACTCTAGAAGACTTTCAGAGGAAAAGAAACCAGGTACCATGGGGACAGCGGTAGCACTGTTTTTGTAGGGCACATTCGAGCTGCCATCCACAGCGAGACTATCCGCAGCGAGCCTTGCCATCTGCCAATGGCCATTCAACGACCTAAGAGCTTAAATGCGCTCTGATGGCCGCTTCTCAAACCACATTTTGAGGAAATCTTATTTGGGGATTCCGAGATGGAACAATCTATGTTCACAGATGCGGAAGCACAACTGACAACTGAGCGGCGCCTGAAGTACCAAGGAACTGCCAAGATAGATCTGAGCCAGATTACATGTCACCCATGCGTGGCTCGACAACTGGACCAAAAGAATGTTGAGAGACTATGCGAGGTATTTCGGAAGGATGGCTGTAATCGACTTGACGTGCAACATCATGTTACAGCTGTTGTAACCCGCCGACACTTGAAGCACGCCCGGCGGGAGGCACAGATAACCGCGGAGGAATTGCTGACTAATCGACCTGATAAATACCCGTTCCTTTCTTTCCCCTCCAGCCAAATCCAGTGTCTACATGGTCAACACCGCCTGCATGCTGCAACAGAAGTCCTTGCTCCTAGTGAGCGATGGTGGACGGTGGACCTCTATCTAGATGGTGAGTTTCGTTTTATTGGCTCAACTTCTATTTTACAGCCTTCATTTTTAATTGCCTCGTTCGGTCTGACATTTATGTAGACATTAGCCATGAATTACGAAGTACCCTAGTCGATGAATATGCAAACGAGAAGACACCCACTGATGGAGACATATACCGCAAAATCCGACAATACCAAAGCGAGCATAATGCAGCGTTCCAGAAGCGGTGGTGGACGCGTCTTTCGGAAAATAAAGCTAAGCGTTTGCGACAACTGATGTCTCCTGACAACGTCGACATTTGTGCCGCCTTTGATGCCCTACTTCCCATTCCAGGTCTGTGGAATGGCCTGAGTATCGGCTCTCTCAATCGTGTACTAGCATTGAAGTGCGATGAAGTTAGTTATCATCGCTTTCCCCGGCTTCCACTCATTTTTCGCTAATGACGAAGGAAATTATCCACTATTTACAACATGTGGAAAGATTCTGGTCGACTCTAATGGATGGCGATCGACATCAGATGGCCAAAATCGACATTCATACCGTGGAAAAGCTTCAACTGAGAGCCCCAGCGGCATGTTCTGCGGATGCGAGAGAAGTCAAAGGCTATATACTCAGCGGTGAGGTCTTCTCCCAGTTTGAGGAGACTGAACGACCTAGAATATGGGATCGAATGTCCAGTTATGACGGGATCATTCCTTCAATTCACACCTTTTTCCGCGATACTACTTATCTCGAGGCGTGCGCAACCGGCGTGCGGCAGTTTGCTGTTCTGAGCAAGAGCCAGCCAACAGTGCGAGCCGCCTTGAAGCATGCCTATAAGCCTGACACGACCAGGGGGCATGTCTCGTGCAGACATCAGATGCGAGCTTTCGGAATCACACAGGCCCAAGCACGGACTCTTTTGAACTTGCCTATCGACAAATCTGGTTATTTGCTATGCGTCATTACCCGGAAATGGCCAAAGATGCTACCAGCAAGAAAGTTGTCGCCAAGACCATCCGCGGAAGAGCGGACGAAGTAGTGCTCCACAATATGGCTACACTCGCACAGAAATTGGGATTTGACTCTTTGCCGGTCACTGAAATGTTGAACTGTTCTCCCGACCGAAGAATTGCTCGCGAAGCTCTACTCAAGGCCCGAAAACCGGGTAGCTACCGATATGACCCCGTCACATTCGATTCACTCATTGACCGATTAGTGGAGTGTTTTGGTACCGCGGTCGCTCACGAAGCATTACCATCGCCAGAGTTCGTTCTTGAAAGGACACCAACGCTTTCACGTCGTTGTGGTCCCCCACTCGAGCATGTGCAGCCGATAGATCGACCTCACCTTTTCCTAGACAAAGTGCATTCCAAAGAAGCGACAGGGCCGCAGACTATCTCCTCCTTTTTTGTGAGACAATGCGTGTACTTTGCTTTCTTTGACAAGCCTTTGACATGGACACAAAGTCAAGACCATGATCAAGCTTCGCCTGAGCTGCTGCAAACGGACATTTCTAGATCCCCTCTGTTCGTACCAGTTGATGACCTGCCAAGTAACCCACGAGTGGTCCCAGCTATGGGATCAGCTTCACAAAGACAATCACGCCGAGAGCAACGCCAAGAACGACGCCGTCGAAGACAGGCAACTGGAAACCGGTCACACCGAGACCGGCGACAGGAAATTGTTGAAGAAATACATCCTGCCGCTCCGGCCGATCCAGTTGACTCCATCACTGCTGATCATGATATGGGTATGAATGACGTCGCTCATGTTGTTCCTGGTGGTGCAGACATTTCCATGGCAGGATCTTCCAGTGAGAGTCACATCGGCGGGAATGATCATTTAGCGATACAGAACGAGTTATTCCGCGACACCAGAAGAGATGTTGAGGAGGACCCAGAGCTTTTGCCAAATGTCGAGCAAGACGAGCAAGCGCTTGCTCAAGTCAGTGACACAAGGCGTAACTTGGGAGACATCGTACACGAACCATCAACTGACAGTCCAAATGGCCATGATACTGCAGAGCGACAAACGGAAGTGAACGAGGATACCGCCTCGCAATATTCTCAGGACTCTTCACGAAGCGGCGAGAACGACTCAATGGAATATGTGGAGTTCGTCGTGCCTGCTGAGATGCAAGACCGGTTGACAAGAGGGCTGTCTTCTGATACAGATCTGCAACTCACGTCGAGCCCTGTCGAGGCGGATGGCGAAAGCCTGAATCAAAGGACTGAGGAAAGAGAGATTGCGCAAGATGCAGTACAACAAGCCCTTCAGGTGCTTGAGCAAGAAGCAGAGACACGGGCACTTACTAGTGTAAAAAGATCAGAAAAGCAGTTTGCTACGTCGACCGATGAGCCAGCTGCTTCATTAGTGCTTCCCAGCCCAGGTGTGGGACCGGCTGTGGACGCATTAGCTGAATCTCGCATATCGAATGAACATTCGCCAGCCACAACTCCGGATCCTGACCCGATTGTTCGGCAAGGTCGAGTGCCACGAAGCGCCCGAGCAGCAAAGGCCATCACTCAAATTGATTTGACTGGGCTGGATGCAGCAATTATTGTGGGAGAGGATGGACCCGACCAGCAAGAGCAGGCTGAGTCAGCAATCATCGGTCAGGCTGCGATTTCAACCCCTCTTGGTCACCAGGAATCGTCGGACCATGAACAGGGCACAGACAATATGGGACCTCGCGAGTTTCTGAGCGATTTACCTGATCCTTCGGCCTCAAATCCGATCATAGGTGAATCTACTGGCCCGCCTCGACCCGCAGCGCTTCAGATTTCAGCAGGGGCCACGGGAGAGGGCGGGACCAGCCAACGAGAACAAGCAGATGTCCAAATAACCCATCATGATATGGCATCACCAGTCTCTAAGCCTCAGCAACCCAAAGAGCATGTTCGACAGACGAACAAGAAGCTACGCGAAAATAAGGATGACTCGCAAGAGGCTCCCGCCTCAGGCCAAAACGTAAGTGAATTCACAGTTCCACCTCTGCCGGAAGCGCTTCACCCACGTCGGAACCCTCCACCCAATGCAATCTCGATTACTTTCAAAATTTATGAGAATGGAGGATGGCATGTGACGGACCAAGTGCCGGTCAACCCGAATGACCCATCGGAAGCACATCGTATAGCCCACAAGTATGCCCGCAAGGACAACAAACATGCGCGCTTCTACAACAAGAACTTACGACTAGTCAGCGCTGCTCAATGTGTCCGGGCCGCGATGGATGATGGATCGAATACCGTCCTCATGAGCCTACAACAGGGTCTCGTAGTGACACGAGCCAAAGTGGCTGCGGTGGCCGAGATGATGAAAGCGGACGCTCAGAGAAGGGCAGCAACTGATGCTGATGATATAATAACGTAGTCAGGTTTCGAGCTAGTCTTCAGTCACCAGGCGTCTTAAGCTCTGAGACTTATGGCCTAGCAGGTCGTGAAATTGTAGGAGATATAAGTTGGCATTCTAATGGCCTGGTAGGTCTTGAGACCGCGGTCTTGGAATCTGCTGGGTCTCTGGCTCTGTTTCTACCGCCCTCGGGTCGGTGTCACCGAGCCCTAGTACGTAGTCTTATATGAGCAGACTTCAATTTCAGGTTACATGTCATCAGCCTTCATGTATGTTTCTTATGATCGCCTGGGATTTGAGTCTCTAATCTAACAGCCTTGGTGGCCTTCTGACAACAAACATATGCTGAACTGGGTCTTCGATCCTCTCGGACCATCAGAATAGTTTCACAGAGCCTTCACTGTCTCTGGGCCCCCAGGTCCTGTAATTAGTGTTTTTACTGCGGAGCTTAGATGCTCGTCCGATAAGTGAACTGGCTTTTTTGCTCGTCGTTGCTCCCAATAAGCAACATAATTATACACATTTACCTTGACAAAAACCAAAGACAAAAGCCACAGAAATCACCGTCATGTCGCAAAGACCAATGTGATACATATCGATAATCAGATTGCTCTACAGTGGAAATCACCAGCATAGCGCTCACAATGCAGCTGAAGTATCTGGCTCCTGTCAAGAGAATTTATTTTATTTCAATACACTTTGCCAGTACATACCCACAGACAACTCAGAAGCCCGTTCTGGGCAAAGCATTGAAATACTCCTTTCCGTCGTTTGTCCTCACTGAGGCCGTAAGCCCAGCAAGAATTCTACAGTTGCCAACCCTCACTGAGGGTCAGTCTCTCCTCATTGAGGGCTGGCCAGCTATTTAAATGCCACAAATCCTTCCCAATTTCAATTGCTAACCTTCTTCTCCATCGATCATGCTTCTACCGCATCCAGAGTGAGTTCTCACAGTCCTCACCTCCCATGTTGAAATGCATTGCGCTCATATTTCTTTAGTGACCTTGATTCCCCGATAGTGTATTTCAAAGTGGGACCAAATGAAAAAGAATTTAGTGTCCATGCCAACGTCCTCAAGGAACGTATCGCACGCGTTTGCTCTCCACTTGACCTTCCTAATTATGTCATTTGAATTTCATAATGATATAGAGGACATTTTCGGCTATGTTCCGACTATCAGATTTCAGTCCTAGAGGATGACTCGGCTCACATCGCTTGTGAAGATAAAGCTAAATTCGCAGTTGAGAAGGTTCTACTGCTCAAGGATAACTATTTCCGGACCCGTGCGAATACTCAGCAGCTTTTGGATCATCTGGCAGAAAACTTTTCGCAAACCCCAATCCTGCCATTTTGCGGGGAGACAGGAAATATTTGCCAAAATCTTGATGTATTACTTATACATGCACGACTGCATCCCACATAAGGATGCAGGGAAGATTGAAATAGTAGAGGAGGGACAAATGTGAATGACATTTGTCGAGGTTAAGCAAAAATCCCTGTCTCTCTCGATTAATGGGGAATCTAACAGCAACCGTCTTTGGTAGTAACTAATAAAAAGAGATCGGACCTGATAATATCCCGACATTTTTTCCTTTGACGGTCCAGACCTTTTGTTACGTCAAGCATAGGCCAGCCGGCCCATTAGTGCAGATCTACCACCTAGCACATCTCGCAACACCAATAAGAAAGGCTCGATAACCGCTGTCCTCCAGCGCACAGGACACTTTACGGCTGATTTTGTATCTATTTTCTTATCTATTGAATTACAAATTTATGGTTTATATTTATTATGTACTATGTATAGAAATTCTGAATCTGCTTGCTAATGAATAACAATCATCACTGCATGGATGCAGTACATCACATCCATGGCTCCTGGAATGATTGGGCCTTGATCCTGACGTAGGGCCTCCTGGTATCTGCGAAATTAAGATTAACAAGTGGATGTAGATACATCCTAAATCCGAGCCACCCAACTATTGCTTTGTTGAGTACAGCTGAGCAAACGGGAAGCCCTGTTCTTCATGTCTCGCGGTCGTATGTGCTTAGTTAGGACTTGGGAAACCCCAAATAAAGTGACTGTTTAATGATCGCTGATCTCTATCCCGTGAAGGTGAAATCGATGGGGGTGAGGGGGTATCTTGGCTTCCGCACATACCTCGCTATCTGAAGATGGTCATGTGACCCGACCTACGGTCCTTGATGAGTTGTCAATTGTGATAGGATTCGACATGGGCAAGTCTCCACATTACCCCTCCCAACCGAACGAAGGTAATCAACCGGGTTGACTGAAATGTACGATGCACCTCCTGGAGGCCATTCTCATTTCCCTCAAAGCTGAACTCGTCTCTAGGAACAAAATTGGTATTCTTGTTTATTGGAAATGCGAGACAAGGCTTCCTCGGAAGTGAAGCTGTCTCCTTTGTGGGAGAAGGCTCTGGAGAGCTATCATGAAGACCTTGTCGCCGACGATGACTTCCGAATGATACTGAAGACTGGTAGTCTTGAGGAACTTCTCGCAGACGACCAGATTTTGCAGCCGTTCGGGCCGCAAGGCAGAAAGGCATTGGACTCTATGAATCGATTAAAACCAACGTTCAAATTGCTGAATGATTTCTCGGTTGTACTGGCAGTCTCCTTTGGTGCAGGCACCGCTGTGACAGCGGTAGTGTGGGGTAGTATCAGAATGATTCTTACGGTATATTGATATTTCTGGCAAGACGCTGACCAATTCCAAGCCCTTACTGACAGGACTGCAGCTGGCATCCGCAGCGGACAATACTTTACACGAAGTCTCAGATATGCTGGAAGAGCTGAGCCTGACACTACCACGTCTCAAACACTACGAAAGAACCGTGTCGATGGACTCAGAGATGGAGGCGACCCTTCTTTCTGTTTATCAAGAGGTCATTTGCTTTTATGCTCGTGCGATCCATTTCTTTCGGAGCCACAAACACTGTAAGTGCGTCTCTTTGGGGTGTGCATTTACTTCAGGAAGTTAGAAGTGTGCGTAAGCTAAATCAGAGAAGCGTTCCTACTACGAAACGCATGGTCAGAGCTCCGCGATGATTTTCAGAGAACCGTTAAGCGAATCAAACGTCTGTCTAGCGCCATCGAAAGCGAGGTTGAGCTGACCCGAATGCGCGTGGATAATCAAAAATACCACGAGGTCCTCAATTTGATGGCGAACTTCCACCCTCAACGTCCAGAAGCTGCACCAAAGATTACCAACTACATACCTTTCACAGAAAACCCCCGCTTCTGGGGCAGAGAGACTATTCTCACCCTTATAGATGACGCTTTATCAGCAGATTCCTTGAATCGCTCCCTGCGATCATTTGCGTTGCACGGTATGGGGGGCGTTGGGAAGACACAGATAGCGCTGAAATATGCTAATGCATCGCGTGAGAAATTCGATTGCGTTTTTTGGATCTCAGCCGAGAACTTGGTTACGATCGGACAAAGCTTCCGGGAAATTGCGAAGAGACTTGGCTTGATCAAACCTGATACAGAGACGGATGATAATGCTGTCATGCTAGAAGTAAAGCAGTGGCTATCGTCTACAAGTGAGTCGTGCTACTCTATCCGTTGCGATTTGTAAAGTGGGCTAATTATATTGTGGCTCAGAGATTCGTTGGCTTCTCATATACGACAATGCCGAAGATTTAAACGTCTTGAAACACGCTTGGCCTGCAGCCTCTACCGGGTCCGTACTGATAACCAGTCGAGATCCCACTGCAGCTTTCAGCCTTGCTTCTTGTGGATGCCAAGTCACACCTTTCGATACGGACACCGGGTCATCAGCATTACTTAATATTCTTGGACTAGACCTGGAGTCAACGATTCACCAAGGAGAAGCAAAGGCTATCACCTCAACGCTCGGTGGTCTACCGTTGGCGCTTAATCAGATCGGTGGATTCATTGTTCAGAGAAAAATACCTCTCAGGAGCTTTCTCGCATTATACAAGCGAAACTCGGTCAGCGTGGATGCTAAAGGCACGATGAGCATGGATTACAGCCACACCCTGGCGACCGTCTGGGAGATGGCTTTAAGTCAACTCTCGGGAAGCGGCAAGGTCCTCCACATGATCCTCTCATTCCTAGATTCTGACTACATAAATGAGTCACTCTTGAAAGATGGCGCTCTTCATGTGAATGACCCCACTCTGGAGTTTATGATGGATGAGATAGAGTAGGTACTACTGTTATTTAAGCGAGCGCACGTTGACTAACCTGAGTGAAGTTTCCTAGATGCCCAAGAAACGCTGCTTCAAGGAGCTCTTATTGACAAGTCAAGCGAGAGTGGGATCATATCTATGCACCGGCTCGTCCAGCGTGCAGTCATCCGTCGAATGAGTACCGAAGAGCGAGAGAACATGTTTTCCCTTGCAGTAGCTATCCTCACGGCGAACTTTCCCAACACTTACAGTGCCGACGTTGGCCACCAGGTCGCCTCCTGGACCTATTGCGAGAGGAGCTTGCCCCACATTGAAAGCATCGTGAAAAAGAGTGAAGAATTCAAGATCTTTGAGAATGCGAACCAATCTTTCGCAGAGCTACTACTTCGCTGTTCTTGGTATTTCTCATTGCCACGTCATTGTTTGGAAACTCGTTGCTAATCCAAAGCAGGTACCTTTACGAGAGAGAGAACTACAGCATTGCCCAGTCATACATTGATGTAGCACTGAAGAAGTTTGCCAGCAAGGATTCTCTTGCGTACGCGAGTGCAACTGATCTTCGAGGTTTGATCAACCTCGATATCTGCCATCCTGCAGCTGCTCTGGAGGCTTTTGAAGAAGCATACAAGATACGCACAGAGATACTTGCAGAAAGCCACTCGTTTCTAGCCGCCAATCAGGTCAATATAGGTCTTGCGTTCACAGAGCTGGGCGAGCTTGAAAAGGCGCAGGACTATCTTCAGCAGTCAATAAACATTCGGTTGATGCACAACAGCGACAGAATTGGAAATTCATATAGCAATATGGCCAGCTTGTTATTGAGAATGGGGCAGCCTGACCAAGCAGAAGCGATGCTTAAGAGCTGTCCATCCCTGAAAGACTTTTCAGATGAGACCTTTCTCAACACCGGAAACCCGAGGTTTTCTGGGTAAGTTCTTTGTTCATGAATAATCTTTCATATAGGCTAACAATGATAGGGATATGGTTCTCCTGAGCAGAATTAGATTCGCGCAAGGGCTTCTCGATGAAGCGCTCAGATTTGCTTCCAAAGCCCTGAGTTTTCGAAAGGAGTACTTGGGCGAGCGCCTCAAAGTCTGTGACTCGCTCTACCAGGTAGCTGTTCTTTTTCACAAGGGGGGAAACATGGGATTAGCACAGTAAGCAGCCACACAGTCCAATATGAAGTCGCCACAATTATTGACATTCAACAGCCAACTTCTCGAAGAGTGCATCAGGATATCAGAAGGACTCCCGCAAGTTGAGGGTATAGGACATTTAGCTCGGGCGAACTATAAGCTATCGCAGATTCTGGGAGATCTCGGGAAGGACAAAGAAAGCACGAAATGTCTCGAAAGGGCGGTTTCGCTTAGAAAAGATCTCAATGGTCTCGATGGAGATTACCTTCTAGTGAATGGGGCTGCATCTGACTTTGAGGATCTTGTCCCGTGGATGCTGTGGTGATTCACATCTGATGAAGCTCTTCATACACATATCATGTAATATGATTCTTGATGCGCGAGATCCATTTAGAAGCCTATGTAGCTGACGGTGTCAATTATCTAAGCATCGAAGTTTAAAAATAGCTGCTGCTATTCATTGAGCCAAGAACACCAGGGCATTTGCCGCCCACGCTACCTTCGAGCTGCAGATGCAAAGTTGTCTACTCGCCATAATTTCCATAGCCGCCCGAGATACTAAAGACGCCCGAAGTGAAACGCCCAAGTTTCACATTTTTGGAATTCAAGCGAATGACGGAAAAGTCTCTCCACTGGCGTACGATGATTTTATTATTTGTCTGCCCACTTCCTGTCTTCCATATTTTTTTTTCTGTTTCTTTTCTAGTTGATCTTGAATTTCTTTTTCTGACATCGTATATTGCTTCATCCGCTATTATCTGACATTCAGCGTTGAAACTACACTCCATCACCATGAGACAGTCGCGAAATGCTCAATCGAAACCTATACAGCGTCTCTGCTCTTCCGGTAAGTCAAACTGTTAGGCCGCGAGGTTGAAGGGGGGCTTTAAATGATTAATGAACCAAAAAGACAGCAAATCATGCACTTTCCATGAAGCCTGTGCCACTTCTCCAGGATCACACCTACTCCCAAACGGGTTAGAGCTCGATCCTAAAAGCGAAGCTACAGTCTGGTACACCACCTGGCTCAAATCTCAAACAACTAAAATCCCATTGCAAATATTCAACATCTTCCACGCGAACCACGAACACTGCACCTCCCAATCGCACTGGGGCCTCTTCAACCGCACCTTCCTCTGTGTGGCGGAATCCGCCATCCAAGACAACACTATCACCATCGATGGGATGATTGGAAACCTCCTCGGTGAGAATATTTTGGATTCAGAGACGTTGGAGGAGAACCTCAACTATGCTCGCTACTTTGTCTTCTGCATTTTGGGCTACCAAACCATGCTCTACTCTCCTTTTCCGCTGGATCTAACTTCCGAAACACCGCATCAATTATGCATCACCGAAAACCTCGGTTGCTGCAACTATACTCACGCATCTCTAACACAAGATGTCGCAAACTGTGCTCGCGAGCCCCTTAGTGAGCTTCTCATGGGCTTTGGCGTGCTTCTACCATCAAGGAACCTCTGTCTAGACGACGATCAAAGTATCCATCACGCCTTCCAACAGCAAACGGAAGTTGATGCTAAGAGATTCAACGCATACGCACTTCATTACATTGCCGGTATCAAAGTCAAATGGACCGATGCATTATCCTGCCATTTGGAATTCAACTCTGCCACAAAGGAAATATCACTTTTCCGCTTCCCTTCGTTCTGCCAATTTTCGCTGGCAAAGTATGAACAGGGGAAGGGTAGAGGTGTGCTACACGCTTGTGCAACGACAAGCCGTCTCCGATGTCAATGGGCAACAGAGACGGAAATAAACCATTTTTTACTCGAAGTCCTTCTGTCCTACAGATTGTTGTTTGGTCAGACCAAGAAATCGCGAGCATTGTTTCGGTCCGTGGACCCGTTTCTCCATTGCACGGAACAGAACCGCACAATGAGGGATTCGCTCTTGTTAAGTTTGTGTGGCATGCGATCGTTGAATTTGTTATTGCTGGACCTACGACGGGACTGGAATCTGGTGGAAAAGGAGAAATACTACCTACCAAACGATTTTCCGATCTTGCGGTATCGCATTGTCGTTTTACAAAGGTATTTGTCTGCTTCGGCGCCACGGACTTGGCTTCAGTTGTGGAGGGATAATAGGAACTCGGCCAATTGGATGACATTTTGGGCGGTGATTATATTTGGGGCATTCGGATCGCTAATGGCGCTTTTGCAGGTGATTTTGCAGTCTGTTCAGTTGTTCGTGTGATCATTTTCTCGGTCTTTTTTTAGTAAATTCATTCTTTTAATCGACATGTAAGAATGCCTTATCTGTATACAGAACTGGAAGCTAGTCCAACATGATATTTAAATATACCCCCGTTCGGCCCAGCTTTGGATGATACCCCTAGATGTCGGTTCATATTCTCGTAATTTGACAGCATCACCATCAAGGTACGTGTTTGCATGAGAGAAGGCTAGAGGCGGGTCCTTTTTGGCGGTGACTATTTCTCTCCATTTCAGAGCTTCATCGTCCACGCTAGAGAGATCTTCGTAAAATCTGCGGCAAGCAACATTATCGGCAGTGCAGCGGTAAATGTGTAGCCTTAACAGCATGCGACCAAGGGAAGGCTTCCCTTGATGGATAATGCGAGCTCTATTGACCTTTACCGTTAGCCTTCCAGCTTGAGGATCGCATGTGATGGCGTAGAGGTCATTGGTGTCACGCAGGAGATGGCGTAATATGGCGTAGTGAGCCTGTATAATAGTGAGAATATGGTGGGAAAGCAGGAACGAAAAACCTACTCGACTATGCGCTTGGCCCCATTTCTGTTCAAATTAGCATGGCCTTGGAGAACATAGGTGGCTAGATTTGCGTACCTTTGTGGCGGGATCGTAATTCTCCAATCCTCGAAGTCCGTCAGTACCTAGTTGAAGGTACATGTTGTAGACGACTAGCTTTCGTTAACAGTAGTCATCCAGTTGGAATGCAACAATCATACGGTCATCTGGCTTAATCTCCCCGTGCTGCGTATACCCGAACAAGGACAGAATGTCTTGATCGTCAATCAAATAAGCGCCCACAAGCTCTGCCCTACATTCATCCACGGTAGTTGAAAGATCCCCGAATACTCCGGTCCACGTCTGGCCAGGTAGATACCAATTTTTGATCGGGTTGCCGGTAATTGGGTTCAATGGTGGCCGAGCAGTATTGAAATTGAAGTTGCCTGGGGAAGTCTCTGCGAGGAATCTCCCTGTTCCGTGGCCTAGGATTTCATGTAATACAACCCAGATATAATATGCATGATGACGGTGTTTCTTGAACGTTTCTTTTTCTGAGTCGTCGACCATATGCAGGCCTCTTGGTCGATCACTTTCTGCTACCATGCGATTGGAAAAAATGAGATTTTTGTAACCTGTCTCTTGACGAATGTCGTTGTACTGCCCGCCTTTTAGATTCTCTTCGAGACAGCATATTGCTTCACAGAAAACTCACGTTCGGAAGATTAATTCCCGGAAAGATGATGCTTGAACAGTAAGCGAGGCCTAACACGAGTAAGCATAAAGGCAACTTAAGGCAAGGAGATTATTCATACTCTGGACGCTGGAAAAGTCCGGCGCCTTGAATACCTCTTTTTCAAACGGTCCTTTGGTGCCGCACTCTCTGTTCACCCACGGAAGCCTGTAGACAAACTCATCTGCCTCCTTTGCCAGTTGCTTCAGTGTCCTCGTTTGGTCGGGATCAGGTATTCCAACGATTCCTTCAAATTCAGACCTAATACCAAGTGGGTCTCGGTAAGGTTCAATGAAACCGATTACCGTTTCAACTGGTGGAGCCTTATCATTCACCCAGATTCTCTGAGAGCCTTTGTATGCTGCGAGATTGCCGGTGGTAAAGCTTTCTTGGATCTTACGTATCATTTCATACTGAGATTGGTTTGAGACGTACTCCAGAGCTTTTTCCAGATATGCGTTTATGCGTGCCAGTTGATCCTTGTGATCCCCGTTCACCAGGCGAATTGTCTTACCATTTGGTGTGGGACTGTTGGTAACATGGCAGATAGAAATACTCTCTTCCACCGACGCTTGGAGGATGTCGAGAACTTCATCCTCTAGAGAGAGTGTTCTTTTCTCTAGGCGAGTGTTCTCCGGCAGTATTTTGAGCTCATCCATGACCTTTGTAACCAGGGCTACATCTTCCTGGAACGAGGCAATTTCATGTCCCGGGTAATATGTGCTCTGGGTCAGTTGGTCTGGAGGCCCTAGACTGAGTGGTGGTGTCTGGAACATCGCATCTTGAATTTGTTCCCAAAGAGTAGTTGCACTTGAGGTCGCGGAAGCCGCTAAAGCCCCAAGCTTGTCTTTAGGGATAGCAGGAATGAACTTTTGGTCACCAGATCCCTACTCAGAAATCAATATTTGTGATGTTCCAAAGGGCCATTTCGAGTCTTACATAATAGTTCCCCATATTGGACAGAAACACTGCAGCGTAGTCTAGAAACAATTGGACCTCTTTAAAGTCAAGATTGGCCCGGATAGCGAGGCGTTCCCAGTCACCATCGCAGCTGTTATAAAGGGCCATAACAAAATCAAATATTAGATTGGCTTCCGGAGATACCTGCTTAAAGATGATGCGCGAGCCACCCCATGCCGCTCTGACACTCGTCAGTACGACGGGCATCTTCGAGCCGCGTGAGGCTTAGAGTGTTGCGTACTTAGACATATAGTGAGCATACAGCTTCTGTTGTGAGCCCAGGCCATTGAACGTTGATCCAACTGACAGTTGGAATATCTGAGGTGCTTCCATTGTGGAAGGTAAACTTTGGTTGGTTGAAGAGTTGACCTTTGATGAAGAGAAAATACGGATGCCCCGCACACGTGACCTAACTGCTGACAAAAAGTCACTTCAAGCCGGGAACTGACTTCTCTTTTGAAAGGAAGAAATTTACGCATTATACGATGAGTGGCCGTCTACGTGATGAGTCTGTCGACAAATAACCACTGTTTCAACTTCTTCGTTTTCAAAACCTAAAACAAAGGAGATCATCAGGGCGAAGTTCATTTATAGGATTCTGGGTAAAGCAGCTCAATTCTTCGCTCTATTTCCTAATCTTTTTCACAGACGGTCAAAGAAGAATAAATGCAAATATGTATCCACATGATCAATCAACGTGATAAGTCGTTCTGCAAGGTCCTAGTAACTAGCTTATTCCGGCTTGCTGGTGACTGTAAGAAAACTCGTAAACGTACAGAATTTGACTGCCACCAAATGACCTAGTCATGGATGACCTCAAGATTCCTGAACTACTAGATGAAGCCATCAGAACTTACAGCGCATGGCATTAAGCGAATGTCGCGGACGACGACTTGAAAGCTCAATCCTGGCAAACATGCAATGTGGCGTTAGCCAATGGTCTAGACCTCAAACTGATCTATGAGGACCAAGATCTGTCATTCTTTGTCGTCAAAGGGACTATGGTAGGTATCGCACGCCAATTCGTGAGAGATATTGGCCAATGGGCCAAGTGTGTGAGGAATTTGTCTCCGGTAGACCAAGCTACGCAGGCCGCAGCTTGAACGTGGGCGAAAGTATAAGGAGGCGTTATGACACAGCGGGCTCTATATTGACTCTTTGATCACTTCCGTTTGATGCATTTCCTTCTGTAATTGATTAAGTCATGACTAGGGGAATACGAAAAGTAAATTTAGCAGGATCGAGCAAATCTGGTACATGTAGAACAGTGCACTTGCAATGCTGATGTAGTGCACCTAGGAAAATGGTCCGTGATTTCTTCCCATGTCAACCTCCCTTCCTCTTTCAGCGTCACTAGCAAGAGGATCATTGTTTGAATGGGGCCGGAATTTACCCCTCCTTCGATATGAACAGGTTGTGCATGTTGATCGCTTTGAAACCTTATCTGGTTTGTCGGGGTTGAAGGGAAGTTTCTATGTGGGCATACATGATGTCGAGCGACGTTGTTAGGCACGAGTGTGAAGAAGACAGCGGGCTCAGATTCCTGGGTCTCAATGGTGAGAATTGCCCCCAACAAAGTAAATCATTTATTGATGATTGAAGACCGCTGACCCCGTCACAGTTGAGTGTAAATCAATTGCATGGCGCTGAAAGTGCATCATTTTATCAAACTTTCGATCGCATACATTGCACGCAATTTCGGTGCTAGTTGCAAAGTTTTGAAGATGCTTTCGCTTAATATGTTTCGAAACATCACCATGCGATGCAAATTGCTGCACACGCTTCTTCATATCCAGTTCTGTTTGTCCTAGACAAATAAAGCAAAACAGAGGTCGGTGATCCTTCATGATAGATCGAAAAGCAGCCTCAAGAGGAGAATCTGGTTGAGACTTGCTCTCGGTCGCTTCATCTTCTGAGGGGTGATTGCCAGGACCATCTAGCTCGACCACGTCATTCTCAAACCGTTTGTTGCGCGGCAGACGGCACGTTTCCCCCTTCCTCAAATTGACAATAAACAGCGACCGCATCGATTGCTTCAGTCCGCCGATGCATCTCTTGATCCAAAGTTGGCGGTGGCAGACTCAGTAGGCATTCGATCAGCCGCTTTTGAAGAGGAGGAAGCTCCTCCGATCTTTGCAGTTTTGTTTTGACCGCTTTTTCAAGCGTAGCCTCGGAAAGCTGTCGTTGAACTTCCAGCATAGGTTGCTCTTGGTCGTATTTCTCCTGAAGCTGTGACAGCAAGGCATTTCTTGCCCGTTCTCTCGCGCCATTGATTTCTTGATTCAGCTTTCTATAAGCGCCGTATTTGACAGTGCCTCGATGCCGCGAGAGGGGTCGGCCTAGTTGTTGACGAAGCTCGTCACGGCGCTGGACCAGAGCTAGGATTTCCGGCCTTTGATTGACCGAGGACGATTGCACAGTCGTCAGGTCTTGCGGTCGGTTTGGGTCGATGGTCCTGCTCATTCGGCAGGCTGCGTGCATGATATCCTCGTCTGGATTGAGACCGCGAATTAAGGCAGGTAGGTTTTTATCAATCCTCCTATCAAGGTAGTACTTCAGAAAGGTGCGAGTATCGGCGTGGTGCATAATCAGATTACGAAGAGAGTCGCTCACGGAACCTAAAACAAAAGAAACAATGATTAGTAAGTTGTGATTGTGCACGATACATATATGCAACTTCATTTACCGCTATTATCCAACGCTTTGGCAGCGCCATATCGCAAGCTGTAAGGGCGAGCAACTTGTCGAAATCCAGTGATGACTCCAATTGTTTTGACCCACGGGAGCAGCGTAGAGTATGGTAGAGGCTTGTCGGGGGAGATACTCATTCCTTGCAATGTCCGTTCTGTTTGTCGGAATACTGGAACATCGTCTAAATCCGGGTCGAGGAGCAATGGAAGTTCATTACAATCTTCCGGAATATTTAGACGAGGGAGCTGATCTGCGGAGAACAAAACCTCCTGTCCCTCGACCCGCTTGAAAGCACGATCCCCGAAGAGCAAGCCTAGTAAAGAGACATGTGGACTGAGAACAAGCGATGGGTCAAAAATGATCTCAGGAAGAATATAGGTGTTTCTGCGTGTCTGTTAACTATCCTGAAGACCGTAGTAAACTCCTAATATATTCACTCACTCGTCTTTCGTGCCAAGGAACCCTTTTGTGAACTCGAAGGTGAACTCAATCACGATTCTATGTGGGCCACCTTGCGGATCTCGGAGCAGGCTGACTCGAATATGACGGTACATCAAATTTAATATGGCCTGAGGACGATTGGCAGTGAGGCCAGCAAGTTGCAAGAAGAGGCAGAGCTCGATGCGATGCCTCCCATGTCCAAATTTCTTTTTTGTAGTACTGATCGCGGTCTCGACGACCATTGTCAAGTCCTCCACGTACATGGTGGACTTTTTACGGCCCTTGCAGGATAACTTATGATTTCGGGACAACTTTCGAATGACCTAGAAGATTGATCATTACCAACTATACGGTTTAAAGCGTTTTTGCAAGGACAACGGTGCCGTGGTTCGGCAAAGGAGGGACTTACCCGGCGCATCTGTCGATTCATGCGATTTTCAATCTTGCCAGATGTGGCTCTTTCAAAAACAAGTCGAAAAACCTTCCAGAAAGTTTCCAGCGAGCTCTTCCGCTTGATTCCGGGTAGTCGTCTTCCATTCTTCCCTCGTCGCAGGTTCAAAGCCCAATCCAAAAAGGTATACAAAATGCCAACGGATAGCTTCGAAAATTCTTGCTGAGGATCTTTTTGAATACATGCACAGAACCTGAGACGGCTTTTAGTTAGTCATAGTGTGTGGAAATACTAGGAGTGAAAGACTAGGAGTGCTAGGATTTCTAACGAAGTGTAACGCACTGATTCCATCTCGTTTCAACTTGGTCAAGGAGAGACACAGTGCCTTTGCTGTAATCTTCCTGGGTGTAAACGGACTCATCAAACTGCTCAAGTTGCTGTAGATAGTATTCTGGCAAATGCTCGTTGTCTGCAAAGAGCTGCGCGACATCACCTGCATCCTTCAACTGATCGTCTTCGCGGTCAGGCTCTGTTGGATCCGTGTCATATTGGTCATCGCCGCTATCGTCGGAGCTGTCGGGGCTGAGATTTTCATCTTCACACGGAGGTGAGTTGGCCTTTCGCCGGGAAGGAGCCATGCTGTGGTAACGGGGAATCGTCTAGCGAGGAGTTGGGGGTAATTGCTCTTAGCAAAAGAAAGAGCGAAAGAGAGCTAGGGAAGGAAAAAGAATTGGGCAAACTCTTTTGAATGAGTGTCAAACATCAAAAGTCTGAGAAGACCCCAGGGGAAGGGCCCAATATATGAGTTTCCACTGATCGCAGCGTTTCAGTGCCATGGTGAAAAAGGCTCCTGGGAGGAAAAAGGGACGCAGTGTTGACTATACTGTACTCCTGAACGAAAACCTCAGCCTGGGTACCAAGTGTGGATACCAAAGATGCAGGCGCAACACCCTCAGGCAACGCTAGAAAACTGAGGGGTGCTTGTGGCTGCGCCAAGCGGAAATCGCGTGGCCGTGGTCAAAGATAGAAGTGCGTGGCAAGGAATTTGGCAAATCGACGGCCTAAAACGGCCTCACTTGCGGCCACATTTGGAAGCCCGTTTGCCGTCTGCTACCTTATTAGAGTAATATTAGAAATATTAAATTCTATTAAATACGTATATCTTGAATAGAAATAAGCTTTAATAAATTAGACTATAGCTTAAAGAATTGTTTCTAGTATTATAGATTACTATTTATATAAATAATAAGCTTTTAGATCTAAAAGATATATTAATATATAATTTAAAATCAGATTTTAGAATCTAAATCTTTTTAAATGTATTAATAATATCACTTTTTTAATCTCGAGAATAAATAGTACTATTTTACTTCCAAGCTTTTTTAATTATATTATTATTAGAGATAGTCTTTATCTTTCTAAAAAGACTTTTTAGATTTAATTAGATTATATATATAAGATATAGGATATAAACAATTATAGTATTATTATTTAACTCAAAAAGTTTAATACAATTCTAGAGCTTCTCTAAAAGTATAATATTATTAAATATATTATTAATTATCATTACAAATATTTAATCTATTAACTTATATTTCTAAAAGATATCTCTTATTACTATACTTAAATTTATACTAGTATATAATCTAAAGATAAGCTTAAAATTAAATAGGATCTCTTGGTACTTTTAGTTTTAATTTAAAAAATAGGTAATAATAGTTATAAATATATTTATAAATAGAGAAGTCTAACAATTAAGAGTAAAAGATATTTTAATTTCTATTAGAAAAGACTTTAAAACCTCTTTTTAATAAGAAATAATCTTTATAGTCACTCAACGTTAAATAGTTTATAAATAAAAGAGATCTAGTCTTAAGATTATATATTAAGCTATTAAAATTAAGTTATAGAAGTTGAGATGTTTTAAAAGTTCCTAGAGGAGATTAGAGTCTATAAAAAATCTAATTTAGATATCTTTTTAACTCTTTTATATAATAGCTATAACTATTTAAAATAAACTTCTATTTTGGATATAGATTAACTTAATATAACTAAAAAAAATATAAGACTAATACTATATCGATTAGATAAATTATCTAATATCTAGATTTTTAAATATCTACTAATATCTACTTTTTTAAATATATTTGTTTATTATAGAAGTACTATTATCTAAGTCTAGATAATTAAATAAAACCTTATATTTTAAATATTTGACTTTTAGAATGTCTATCTTTCTATTTGTTATCTTAAAAAAGTATTATTAGATTATTAATAAATGATATATATTCTAATAGATCCTTTTTTATTATTTAAATCTAGTTTATAGTTACTACTAAATAAATTCTTCTTATTTATCTATTATATTAATTAAATAAATAAAATAGAATCTTATTTAATTAGATATATATTATTTAATTAAAGATAAAAGCTCTAAAAAAAAAAGATAAGATTATTAAAAGGTATTCTTATTTGAACTAGATATTATTAATAGCGTTAGATAATATAGATTAAAGAAAATTGAGATATTGTTTAAAAAGATAGTTTGTAAAAGATCAACTTTATTAATATTAAATAATAATAAAATATATATATTAAATAATTAGGAAATTTAACTTTCTTGTTATAATATTATAGATATAATTAGAAAGAATATAAAAATAGATAATATAAGATAAAGGATTATATTTATCTTAATAGAAAAGAACTATATACTTATAGTACTAGAGTACTATTACTCTATAGAGAGAGATTAATTTGATCTTAAATTAATTCTTATTTAAAATAATCTATTATTTCTAGATCTATAATAAATAAATACTATTATTATAATTAGTTTATTAAATAGATAACCTAGAAAACCCATAGGTAACTTATAGGTAACTTATAAGACCTATAAATAACCTATAAGTTATTTATATCATTATCTTCAAGTCTTGATTTTTTTAAATCCTTTGATCTAAATGTAACGGGGTTCTTCTCCATACTTCCCCGTGACAAGGGATGGCTGATATTCCAGGCAATGAGAATTCATACCTCAGGGGTTCAGAGCTTATGGATCGGGAAGACTATCGAAAAGGGTCCAAACGTCATACAAATCAATGACGAGTCGACGCAGATTCCCTATAGCTTACAGGATCTAATGGCTCCCTCAATAGATTAGATATTTAAGAGGGAAAGACGAGGCTCCTCTCTGATTTTAATCAAGAATCAGTCTTGTATTAAAAGACAATACTATAGAATCCCCTCCTATTTACTATTAATTCGTAACCATATCGACGTCTATTCTTATCCTTCCTTTTATCAAGTTAACAGATATTACACTTAACAACATATAACCTTTACAATTTCTAATTCTTCCACTTTTAACTCTCTAAAAGAAAAAAATATACAAACACAATCAATTAGACCAATTAAAGAGGATCCTATTTAGCAAGAGACACAAAAACAACAAAGAATGGAGTCTATTCTAGTTATCGAAGCTAAAGACATCCCTACTGCGGAGACAGGAATTAATACTAAATCAATATTGATTCAACTAGAAAATATTCTTGAGAAAACATAACACATATTAGTCCAAGCCGCTCACTATAGGGAATTTGCAGCCGCTGCTAAAAGCTTGAAGGAAATAAAAGATGTTTACAAAGCCACAAAGAGGTAGTAGAAGTATTAGGCAACCCTTTTAAACGACTCAAGCTCGTCTTTATTAGAATCCGATAAGAGTAGATTTAGTAGCGATTCGTCCTTGAGACGACCTTAAAATCGACGATAGAAAGAAGAGATTAAATAACATATCGATACTTTTAAAGAACATTTTAGTATTTCCTAAAGAGAGACCTAGATCTCTAACCTCGAAGATCTCTTCCTAGGAATACTGAACAAGTATATCTTTAATAAATAAAAGATACTTGTAATAATAAACTTTCTATATGCTAAATATAAAAACAAATGGAAGATTCACTATAAATAATAACTTAAATTAGCTTAGAATTAGGGCCTATTCACTATCTAGATATTATTATTTCTAGATAATATTTTTAATCTAAAATTTAAGATTATTAATAGTCTTAAAATAACTAAACAATAAGATCATTAAAATCTAATAGAGTTCTTTTTTTATCTAGAATTATTAGAAAAATATCTTCTAATAGAAAAAAAGAAATCTTAGCTTATAGACTGTTTAATAAGCTTCAAAAATCCCTATAAAATAGGATTATTAAAAACTAAAAGAGATCTAAACTCTCTAAAACCTAAAACGAGATATCAAAGATAGTAAAGACTCTTTAGCATGTCTCATATCAAGACAAATTGGAAGAGAAACGAAAGCAAACCAATACTGATTCAGAATCTTAATATACTTTAACGAAGCAAAAAAGCTTTAAAAACAACTTTAGAAATCATCACAACGAAAGGACTTCATACTTTTAGAATGATCTTAAAATCAAAGAAAAAGCCAACTAGACGAAAAAAGACACTAAAAATAAACTATTCAATAAAAGAAACTAGCCTAAATCAGAAATGAAATATGCCAAATACAATCGTACAAATCATAAAATAAAGGATTACTTTGCAAAAACTAAAGTGTAAGAGATTATATCCTAGAGAAACACTAATAAATTGGGAAAAATCGAAGAGATAGAATAGACCTTAATATTCTATCTCTTTATCCTCGAATCGAGATAACAATCAGATTTTATGTCTCAATCCTAGTCAATAATATTCATACTAATATAGATCTTAACATATACACGAAAGTCAATCTAATTAGCAAAGAATTTATGTAAAAATATCAACTTTCTTATATCTTATTTAAATCTCTTTCTTTAACTAGAATCGCCTTAAAACATGTATAAACTAAAGGCGTATACTAGATTTCCCTTACTATAATAGATTTAAGAAATACCACTAAAATATTTAAACGAGTTTATATTATAATCGATAGAGATCTCTATTTAGAGGGATCTCTAATACTCTTGTCAAAAACAACCTTTAACAATCTCAATATCTCTTTAAAGTTAAAAACGTCCTTATAATAGTTTGAAAATAAAGATTTTGAATTGCTATAATCTCACTAATTTATAAAAACAGCAAAAAATAAAACAATAATTTTCACGATTTTAAAACTTCCAAAAGAAATCTAGCTTCTAGATAAAAAGGAATTAAAGTTATCTAACTTAGACAATATTCCTTTAGAATTGGAGGTGTTTCATAATGTATTTGATCACGATAAGACAGGGTTATTTCCAAGAATAAAAAACTTAGATTATACTATTAAAATCGAAAATAACAGAATCATATTGTATAGACCTATTTATCTTTTCTTATAAAACGAACTCTAAGTGTTATATGTATATATTATTGATAATTTAGAGAAAAGAAGGATCCGACTATCCAAAAGCCTCGCTAGAGCATTGATTCTTTTTGTCTCTAAAAAAAATAAGGAACTAAGACTTTATATCGATTACTAGAGACTTAATTGTGTATCAATCAAAAATTGGTATTCTCTCTTTCTAATATCTAAAATTTTAAATAGAGTTATAGGATTGAAATATTTCTTTAAGATTGATATTAAAGATATCTATTATCGAATTTGGCTTTATAAAGAAGATAAATAGAAGACAGCATTTCGTACCCAATA